GATTTGTGTAGATATACATAGGTAGGTATATACATATGTAGAAAGTATTACAGAGGTGTGAGTATTTGTGATTTGATATTTTACCAATTCACAGTCTCTATTTTGAGGAATAAAAAGGACAAAAACTGGGTTTGTAGTGGACATCTTTACTTCTTGGTGACGAAGTGTAGGAGAGCCATGCTTCGACGCGAACGGGTCGACTCGTCCGGAGTAATAGGTACCACAGCCTCACAGAAAATCGGCGTGAAACGACTACAGCGTTGTGTTTCGCCGTATGAGTGCGGTTACCTGAGGCCCAATCTTTCCCCTTCCCAATCTCCAAAAGGTTGGCAAAGCAATCGTAATTCCTCCGTTTGTTGCACGTGTCCACAAGCGCGACAATTGCCTAATATCAAGTAATCCGCCTGCTCGTTTGCCATTCTAATTCATAAACAAGAAGTGGATACTTACTCTTGATTTTTGTAGATCCAGCAAGCCAGCTTATTAAAGTAAGGGTATCTAAATACTTGTAATACCTACCACCTTTACTTTTACCCCTACAACAGGTAGCTGTTACTTCAACATTATAAATCTGGCATGGCAATGGCATATTGTCGACACTTTTAATAAAATGTTAAATAAGATTTTTTGAAGAGAAAATCATTTAATATCTTATCATGACTAAAAACAACCCGTTCTTTCTCTGGCACCAAATCGTAGTACGCATCTCGCGCTTGCACTGAACCCAAGCCGGTACATTTTGTACCCATATACGTAATTTCGGTCGTGTGTTCAGCTAGTAGAACTTCTGACTTTCTGCACTTAAGTTAATGACATAATGGTCACGTGTAAGCGTGCGATAGATGATCGTCATTACACGTTCATTAGAAGCATTGCGTGCGGTCAGTGGTGGATTTACTTTCTTAGCCATCCGCGTGTGACCTGGATCTGGATATAAATAAATATTCTAAGTAGGTACTTAGGTAAAAATATAACTGCACAGTTCACGGAGTTGAACAGCGTACGGCGCTTAGCGTTCCACGCGCGCCTTATACAGCCCATCATAGACCTATAGGGCTGATGTTTAGCCGGGGTTGCGGGGTAAGGTCAATGAGGCACCGCGACCTCTGCCTAGAGCAGGAGAAAGAAGGGGGAGGTTTTTTGTTAGTGTATGATATTTTCTCTCGCATAAAAAAAAGATCAGGTTAAATACTTCGAAGTCGTTATTTACAATAAATTAAGATTGGGTGATACATTCATAGACGGTGTACAAACTTGCTATCGCGAACCTAGCAACACTACGAAGGAACTAGATTGCCTGGCAACCCAGACCACCTGGCACCTGGCAACTCGACATATCATACTTATATGAAGTACATTTATTAATATGATAAAACACATCCTGTTTACAATAAAAGATATGCACTAAATGCATTTACCTAATGTCATTAATTTTATCAACATCTTTATCTTTAGGAAGTTTAAAACAATCAAATAATACTGGATTAAGGTAGAGGAAACGTCAAACAATAAAATGTACTTTAATAAAACTCGAGTATCTAGTTTCATTATTTATTGCTTCGTTTTATATTGTAAACAATTCGTTGAATTATCTCTTACTCATCTACTTGGCCGTAGAAATATACATGGGCTTAAAAATTAAACAAAAAAATAATACCAATGCAAATACAGAATAGTCAAACATCAACAGATAATATAAATATATCTCCAAAACAAGAAAAATTGTATTACACGTGTGAGGTTCCCGCAAGACTTCTACATTACACGGAACAACAAATACACTTTGAGTGCCCAATACAAACTCTGCGAAAACATCACACAACTAAAATTTACATTCAAGTTCAATAATTTAAATACTGCTTTATTTTATTGTCAATTTTAAAATACATCAATTAACATCACTACTAAGTATACTTAGTCGGGTCATAAGTTCTGTCAAAACCTTATATTTTTAATTTTCGATTACTGGCCAGAAATTCTTCGACTTATTTTAAAAATAGAACTTTCGCGCTTGTAGAAAATAAAAAAGAAATTATTTTTTATTCATTTTTAAATATGGAGTGGTCGAATAAAGAAGACAGAATCGCGGTTATCGCGTTGCACCGCTGTGGTTACGCGCCAAAAGACATTTTCAATATTCTTCAAAATTTGAAAATAACGTTACGGTTTGTTTATCGTACTATCAAACGATACACCGAAGAGTCAAGCTTCGAAGATCGTAAGAGAAGCGGCCGACCTCGCACAGTTCGGACACATAAGGTCATCAAAGCAGTGAAGGCGCGAATCGAACGAAATCCCGTACGTAAACAAAAAATCCTAGCTCTGCAGATGGGGCTAAGCAGAACCACTGTTAAAAGAGTACTAAATGAAGACCTGGGACTACGAGCTTATCGTAAAAAGACAGGACATTTTTTGAACGAGCGTTTAAAAAAAATTAGGCTAGACAGATCCCGCGCTTTGCTACGACGGTACGCGGGAAAAAAATACCGCGAAATTCTTTTTTCGGATGAAAAAATTTTTACTATTGAAGAAAGTTTTAACAAACAAAATGATAAGGTGTATGCCCACAGCAGTGAAGAAGCAAGCGCGCGTATTGCGAGGGTCCAGCGTGGGCATTACCCTTCCTCATTCATGGTTTGGCTTGGAGTCTCATATTCAGGCGTAACTGAGGTGTTTTTCTGTGAAAAAGGTGTGAGAACTAGTGCCGAAGTTTATCAAAATACTGTCCTAACAAACATAGTGGAACCTCTTTCTCAGACAATGTTCAGGAACAGGCATTGGATATTCCAACAGGACTCTGCACCGGCTCATAAGGCACGAAGTACGCAAGACTGGTTGATCGCTCGTGGAATTGACTTCATCCGGCATGAAGACTGGCCCTCTTCTAGTCCAGATTTAAACCCACTGGACTACAAGATATGGCAATATTTGGAGGAAAAAGTCTGTGCTAAACCTCACCCGAATTTGGAGTCTCTCCGAGCATCTCTGGTTAAAGCAGCGGCAGACATAGATATGAATGTGGTGCGTGCAGCGATCGATGACTGGCCGCGTAGATTAAGGGCATGTGTTCAAAATGGGGGAGGGCATTTCGAATAATGTAAATAAAATTATATTGTACATTTAATGACCTTTCATTTCATATATAATTTTTAAATAATTGTCAAAAGGCGTATAAGTTATTACATCAAAAGTTTGTGACAGAACTTATGACCCGACTAAGTATAATTTATTAAAATTTACAAATATTGTATATTATAATAATAATAATAGTATGTATAGTTTTTAAAAATAATATTGTTAGCAACAGCAACCAACTAATGTTTAACTTAATCAGATCAAAATTATAGTAAACTATAAAACTTAATAAATTGAACTGTTACTTTTGTGCAATGGGTTTTTGTAAACAAATTATAATATGGTAACTATTTCTCCGAAACTACTCACATCCGCGCGAGACAACAAGAGTTTGCTTACATCCACTTTAAAAATATAAAAATCATGTAGTTACCCAAAGACAGAAATAAAAACCATCAAGAGATAATGCTGACGAAACAAACAATATCATCTATAATGATTTTAAAATTAAAGAAACCTGCTTGTCATTAGAAACGCTTTCAAATAAAACGTTAATTTTGTAACACAACACCGTTTGAATTTAAATTTCTAATTTTCTCTATTCATATGTAATAAAAGACTCCGTTGGTTGAACAAAATGAAGTGACTGTAAGCAAAATCTTCACACCAGCCGAGTTAACTTTAAATATAACTAGTAATGGAGGACAAATTTTTTGATAAATTATAATAAGCTTTGTGTAACAGCCTTCAAATGCTTCCAATGTCGGCGGAAATAATTATGTTCTTAAAGGAAACCACCCAAACTGGGAATGTTTCTGGCGTATTGAAGCAACTGGGGGACATCCTACTTTTAACTACAGCTTGCTATACACAAAAAGCCTATTTCGTTCTATTACTTTTTCGTCTTTTGTGGAAACATAAGGGGAATATCCAGTGGAGCTTTTCAGGATCGACCGCGCTTAAATATTGTACTGATTTATGTAACTACAATAATGTAAGGATCCGGATGAGTGGAGCAGACTCCTTAAAAACATCAGAGGTGGTGTTTTATGCCATTCATGCCATTTTCGGGAAGTATCTAGACAACCTTAACGTTTTGGAGAAAATACTACAAAACCGAAATGGACAAGGAAAGAAGTTAACGTCGTTTTCATAAAGAGAGGGGAAAAGAAGCACATCACTGTTAGCCCAATAACCTTCAGATATGTTTCAAAGATAGCACAAGCACTGTTAACCAAGTTTAAAGGGAACAACACCCCAATGTCCATAGGCAGACCATTATTCACGGGCTTCTGGAAGCGCCACCTCACTCAAGAATCTTTAACAAACATTACAAATGACAAAAGCGCTGTAAACTTCACTTTTAAGAAACTCAAACATAAACTTATTGGCGAGAAAGGCAAACTCATGAGAATCGGTACAAATAAATAGACTGGGAAAAGTTGTCACTGAAAACAATAATGTAAGCACCAACTACGAATCATTCCATAATACTATATTTAATATTAAAAAAAATCTGAAACGCGAATAAAAATAAAAAATAAACGTAAAACCGCATGGTTAACAACCAGACTAAAATCATCTTGCAAACAAACTAAATGACAACCCTATTCTAAAAAGCTATTACAAAAAATATGAAAACATACTAAAAAAATGCGTCGTAAATAAATCAAAAAGATTACATTATATACAAAAAATAAGGTGAAAATCATAAAAGAGCGCACAAATAAAACAACGAAATAGATAAGAAATAATATTAAATTTAAAGTTACAGATGAGCCTAATGTAATAGGAAATACTTTTAATGAGTTTTGTTGAGGTCGGAGGTAAATCGGGAAACCAACCAGGGCACTCGGTCTTAACGCGCTCTGAGAACTACATGTACTTAAAACCAGTTGACCCTCTTAAAATCTTCTCCATGATAACAAACCTAAAAAAAATTTTGATCACGACAAACTCCCACACTATTAGAAAAATAAGCCGAACAACTCGTGCTGCCACTGGTGTCCCTGATAAATCAATCATTCCCAGAAAGTGTCTTCCCGGAATTATTTAAAATATTCATCACAAAACCAATACACAAAAAAGAGGACACAACTGGCCTGCACAAATTACCCATCCAATAGCTATTCTGCCAACATTTTCAAAAATAATAGAAACTGCAATTTCAAAACGCCATAATTCATTGAACTTGGTATACTAACATTGCCATCTATGTACATCTTCGAAATCTGTCTATTTGTTAAAAAACATAGTCATTTATTTCCCTTGAAAAACACAGACAATACAAACATATTGAAAAAAAAATGCCATCCGGCTTAAGTAAAAGCTGAAAGCTGAAATTAAATAATAAAAACTGCAAAAGGCTGAACACAAATATACTAGCGATGATAGCAAAACTAGTACTAAGAAAATCTTATATTTCTCTTGCTATTTTCTTACCAACACGCAATAAAAATTCAATTATAGAAATGGTACTTTACAAAAGGCTCCTAAATTCTTATGTCGATTGAAAATTTTCTTGATTGGCGATTGTGTAGTCCTAGTCAGTAATTAATCCAGTATTGTCACAGTCGATATTTCAAACGATTACGACATAGTACATTTGTAATCCAACAGCATTGAAACAACGTATTATCAAAAAATCTGTCCAAAAAAACTTAAAACTACAAAAAATGTGCTGAAAAATTATTAAAAATCTGTGTCAATAAGCCTCATCACACGTTAATATCAATGAGATCGCTTTACATCGCGTCACAAACATTGGAGTAATCAGCTCAGTTAATAAAAAAATCGCAATATATTTCAAAAATAATTGTCTATTGTTCCACCACGAGACGAGATGAAATCGTCATTATAACTTTTGTATTTAGGTTTATTTTTCATTAATCACCAAAATGGTGTATGATATTTCTGACATCAACTAGAAATGAACTTTATTCGCGTGTATTCAAGTTTCTATTTCAAAACATCTCGTCTCATTGGGTGTTCCTATTCATTGTCGGTCGAAAGTTGAGTTTCTTACATTGAGGTATTTGTATAGACCAATAAAATGTATCGTAGAAATTGGCGTTTGAAAACCGCAATGAATTATGTGATCGACGTTCGTTTTAAAGTTGCGGTAGACACCCGGATACAAAATCTATCGATTAAACTCCGGTACAAAAAAGCCGGTCAAAATAATTAATCATTTGGCACCTGAAAAGGTCTTTGATTATAAGAAGTTTATAATAAATAATACTTAAAGTATGCTAACGCCAGATTTCTAAACGATGAACGAAAGCTAATTTCATATTCAGACTTGGTGTTAGGCCATAAGAAAAAGGATATGAATATAATAAAAATAAATACTGAAACCGGGTATTAGCACTCATAACAAAAACTTCTATACAATACAATATACTATATAGGCCTGTAAATTCTCTATAGGAGAAGAAATATGTACATAATAAATGAAAACTATAAAGAAATAACACGTGTTTACGAGACGGCGTCGTTACAATACGAACTACTAGTGTAATACTACAGTCTTACGAAGTCGTATAACTTTTCTCTTTGAAATCCAATCAAATATAATGGACTACTTGTTAAAAATCCTCCTATATACCAGGACATTAGAGCACAATTATTATCCCTATATTTAAAAACATTTCAGAATCTAATGTTCACATAAATATAAGAAAAGTATTAGAACTAGATTTGGGGCGGAAAATACAACACATAATTGGCAACATTTTATATCAGAAAATAACACAACTCTAAAATTGTGACGATGACACGTTTTAAGTTCGTTGTGAACCTTCATCATTGAATCGAGACTAATTGAAATGATAAACTTTCTTAAAACATTTTTTTCTTACGACCACACTACCCCTTACAGAAATGGCAACCCCAAAACAGAATATTCCTACACGATTAGGACATTGAAATCACCGTTTAGATACTAATTCATGCAAATAGTGACTATATAAAAGTCTATATATTTAGCTAAAACACCATTATGTATAAACATTTATAAACAACAAAATGTAACTATATCGTCACTAAGTGATCCCTAGGGTACTACTGTATTATTTATATCAGTGATAGACAGGCCAATGCGCGTCGTATTGTATTACCAGACGATTTCTAGGATCTATGATTAGCCAACAAAAAATAAAATATTTTCTGTGTACGATACGCAAACGAAGTCCGTTTTTTTTTTGAAGAGTTATTTGTAAAAAAATGTAGCGTTTATTTTTTCATATACTTTATCGTTTTATATTACGATATGACGATCAATTGACCTGTGATTTGATAAAATAAGGACGCATGCAATTACTAGTGGCCCACACTAAGTTACATAGTTCCTATCAAGACCTACAATGTGCCACAGTACCTAAGTTTGGAACAGTCCAATTTCTCTAATTCACAGATACGATAACAAGATTTTTACGATTCTAATATTTAATGTCATACTTATTTTATACGTCCTTTTTCGTCTTGATAGACAGCCAAGGCTTTCGAAATATCTAATTATTGTGACAATCGTGCGTAAATAGGCCAAGATTATTCATATTGTGTGCATTAAATTCCATAGTCGTAAAAAGTGATGATAGTTCAATATCTTATACTTATTTATTTATAAATATGTAAGAAAAATGTTTTATAAAAGGATAGGCTCGTGTCACATCGGAATCGCAGCCGTGGGAGATGCACGTTTTTTGACTTGTTTTATGGTCAAAACAATACAGACGGTATACCGTAAAAACCTTAAAATAGAACACAATTGCTCAAGAAAATGATATCGTATGAATAAGCTTTACGATTCTAGAAACCATTTTTTTAACTATTGCAAAGATGTTATTAATCGTTTTTTTATTGTTACAAACAATTTGGTCTCTCTTTCCAATGCAACACGAACCGACCCGTAATCCAATAGTTATTGCACATATACGTATATATTTTGTCTATGTATATATTATCGGAGTATAATGTGAAGTATAATACATCGTGTAAAGTTGTATAACGCTTTCCCCACTAGCACCGAAACCTTGGATTTCAGTTTCCTTTAGACCAATTATGAACACTTACGTTTTATAAGAAATATAGAACCACACTTTCAATTAGTGTTACGACAACTGTCCCGGACTCTATCAAAAGTCGATAAATCTATTCAGTTGGCATTCACTAACGAATTGTACATAGGACAGCCGCGACACTAATTTCAGTGTTAAGTAATAAAGCACCAAAAGAAAAATAAATAAACTTAGATTAAAGATCGACAGTTCAAGTCAATATATATTTTACAGCATCGATACCGATCTCATATACTTGTGAAACAAAACAACATTGTCAGCAAAAGTTGGCACATGTATAAATTGTAAACGATTTTCATCAAACATTTGGTCAATGCTCAATCACTGCGTTTCAGTAAGACTTCCATAGACCTTTTATAGCTTTCAGTTTCGGAGACCTCTTTGTCGCTTCGAATTCCTGTTTGAAACTCGTAATGAATTTATCGCGCAAACTCTGTCGCGGCGCTGACGGTTTCAACAAAAACTTCTTTAAATCATTCGTAAAGCTTTTAGCCGTATAGTTCGGTTCTTCCCTAATCGATTCATCGTTACTCGATTCAAGGAATGATACCGATTTATTTGATTGTATTGAATTTTTGCGCTCACGGGAGTTTCTGGGCGTTGATTTGGAGCGCGATGTGACTTTAGGCTGACTGTAACTTTTCGATACCATCGAGTATTGGTCGTCGTCGATCGAATCGAGTGTATCCGTGGATCGGTTGCAGACCCTACAGCAAAGCTGGCAGTGTTCTTTTTCACTGTGGTACCTACCGTTACAGTACACGTAGTTTTCTTTAAGCCGAGAACTTCTGGGTGTCTTGGCTTTATCTTTCGACGACTTTTCCTTGTATTCTCCGCGGTCATTCCGCCTTGAACGTTTCCTGCGACACTTGGGGCAGTTGTTGCGTGCGATTCGACGGAGTTCTTTGAGAAATTCGTAATCAATTTCGAAATACTTGGCGTCGGGCTCGGAGTAGTACCTGAGGTCGGAGTCGGTGGAGTCACTGCGGGGCTGCTCCTTCTTCCGCAGGGGCTGGTCCTCGCGACCGGGGTCGGAGTAGTACGAGGCGGGGCGGGGCGCGGGGCGAGGCGCAGGGGTGGACTCGGGGCGCTTGGGGCGCGGGCGGTGCGTGCAGAAGGTGACGGCCTTGTGGCGACGGCGCGGGGCGCGGGGCGGGGCGCGCGGCGCGGCGGGCAGGGGTCAGGCCTGCACGGAGGGCACCCACAGCGTCTTATTCTGCTCCTCCTCCACGGCCGCCTTGATCTGCGTGCACGTGTACGCTATGTTCACGCCCGCTGGGATCTCCGCTGGAATACGTTTTACATATTAGTACTCATACAATATAAGAAACAATCTGAGAAATGATTGACAGGTGCAAAACGTGATGTCATCTTTTTACTCTCCTAAAGAGCTTATGATCACTATCAAATACTACATGAACCAGGATATTGTTTAGCTAGATAGTGTCTCACATACCTGATATGTAACTTCTGTACTCATTTTCGACCTTCAGTCCATGTTCATACATCTCCTTGGCCGCTTTAGCGGTGACCTTGTCAGCGTGTCGCGTGTCCTTGACCTCTTTGATTTGTTTGAAGGATTTGAACTTAATGAATAGTACTATTGGGTAGATCTGCTGCTTGTGAAGTTTCTCTATCGTGGCTACGCTTATGTCTAGGATGCAGTGGATGCCCTGTGGAGGAAAACGGAAAGTACATGTGAATACATACGCTTTAATAGTACTCTATTGCTATACAGCGCGTCGTGGGTCTTTGTGATATCTGACTGTATTTTTTCATTATTATTAGTAAATTTTAGACAACTTTTGTGATTTTCTATGTTTGTAGACGTAACTTCTTTGTTTGATGTCACAACAAGTAAGGTCGAATGTTTACTACTTGCCAGTGTACATGATGTAAGAAATATGTTGGTTACCTTCTCAGCGAGTTCCCTAATGGCATGCAGCGGGATGCAGTCGATGTGGGTGCAGTCGGGACGCAGCCTGGGCTCGAGATGCGTGCCGCGCTGCAGCGCGGGCGCGGCGCCGGCGACGGGCAGCGCGGCGGGGCGCGCCAGCCCGAACGCGTGCGGCCAGTCCGACGCCAGCCGCGCCGCCACCGCGCCCGCCAGCGGGCCCAGCACCACCACCGGACGCTGCGTGCCGTCTGCAGGGGGGAGGGGGGGCACACTTACTGGACTACTCTAATATACCCTTGACACCCGGCTAAGCATTATGAATGTCGCCGATACATAGAGGGTCAAGTACACATTCTTATCTCTTCTCCAAGCTATTCACTGAATTTCAATGGACTAAAATTTTACCTAACGCTCTACTGCTACTACCTAATTAGTAACTCATGTTATAGTGTACTTTTACGGGATGACTCGACTAATTTCCACCATTACCACTCAAGCGCAGCTAAATAACCAGTGTTGCTTGAAACTAATCATGCATCCTACAAATGTCATTCGACGAATCTGTAAAAAGGTAATTTGAAAATTTGTATGTAGGGTGTAATATTTGGAACCGCTCTGGTCGGATTTCTTTCACTGATAGATAGCTACAATATTCCTTAATGTTATATACTACGTATAGACTATAAAACATCACCCTGCAATCTATAGGAGCCGAGCAGCGAGTAAAAACTACGGCAATAGCTAGTCGTAAGATATTCTGCAACATTAACTATACACAAATACCACAGCAATATGCAATAATAAAGAGATATAAAAGCGACATACTCAAATATAACTCACAGTGCAGTCTCTCGACCCTCTGGTAGGAGAGTACTGGCACGTCATCGGCGAGGGTGCCACTGTCACTCCAACAGCCCAGCTCCGTGTTGGAGAACGAAGCCAGTTCCTTGCTGTCCCTGTGCTTCTTGCGACGGAAGAAGGAACGACGAGCCGTGGTGGACGCTCGTCTCTGAGCGTCGCCTTCCAGTGTACCCATCGATCGTCGGAGTATTTCTTCTACCCTGAATAGACAACGATTGTTACATGAACCCTTCAAATGATATACTTATGTTTTGATTGAACGTGTTTGAAATACACAATTGGAAAAAATATTGTGAAAAAACTCACTTAAATTTACTAGGAATGGTCCCCCAGTGCCGCTTGGCGCCCTTACAGTCGAGTTGCCAAGCGCGCCAGAGTCCGGGCGAGCCGTTGAACAGCGTATTGTCCACGAACAACACCTCGTCCTTACGGAACCATAGAGAGTACTCGTCGATGGTGTCCATGCCAACCGACGTGATCTTGGCGCACCGGTCGAAACCCGCGCGGATATAGAACGCGTCGCCCGGCTTGTCCTTGATCTCGTGGTATTGCTGTAAGTCGTGTCGAACTAACACGCTCACCTGAGAAATATGAACGATAGATTAGTGTCTGTCTTGGCTCATTTAATTCCTAATTAAATACGTGAAACCAAAACTGACCACAGGTAAAAGTAAAGTCAAAACATAATAATGGTCTCACCTTATCCGCCGGCTTAGCCAGCTCCAAGGCAGCTTGCTCGGCAGTGGCTCGCCTTAGATCCACGTTGTTGTACTCTAATATCTGGTCACCTGTCCTCAACCCCGCATTATACGCCGGCGACTCTATCTGTACACTATGCACGAATATGCCCACAGCGTTACCTCCCACCAAACTTATCCCTAAGTCTGAACAATTTCTCATTTCAATGAGAAGAAATCTGGGCAAGTCTTTGTTGTTCTGTGACTGCCTCAAGGTAGCCACTTCAGTCGGAGGCTGTTCCAGTCTAATAGACTGTTGCGGCCCGGGAGAATTTCTGGGTGTCGGTGAACCAGACAATGAAACTTCTTCGTCGTGCGAACTCTCACCAGACGACGAGCTTCCTGGAACTTCGACTTCGTCCTTATATTTCTCAGGGCTGTATTGCACGAGCATAGTTATCGAGTTCCCGATCTGTCTGAGCACTCGAGCGGCGAGTGTGTAGGTAGCTGAGCGCATGTTGATCCCACACACTTCTAACAGTTGGTCTCCCACTTGCAGACCGACCTGACTGGCAAGAGAGTTGTCGTTTACTGTAGACACGAACACCCCGCCACTACTCGGCGGACAATAAATCTGGATGCCAAGCGGTTGCTGGCTTTTATCTATGTGCACTCTCCTTAACTCCCCGGGTAAAGGTTTGTTCCACCCTAAGCCGCAATACTCTGGCATAGAATTCCTAGTTTTGTGCGTCAATTGCTTCGCTCCCCGACCCGGAGATAAAACTTCGACGTGAAATGTAGGCATGGGAGAATTTCGTTCAGAACTTCTCTCTATTGACCCTGTACTTAACTTTCCCGCGGAGTTTTTTGACGTGACACTCGGGTTGGAGGGGATACGAAACCTCTGATTCTCTTTCTTACGAGGGAACGTGCCACCTTCGTAGGTATGGTGGTAGTCTCCCCCTCTGGTGTTGCGCGGCACCGGCTGTAGGTCCGACATATTGTGCGTGTGCGACGTGAACGAGTGCATGTCGTAGCTCGTCCCAATACTCTCGCCCGACTGACTTTGGGGGATATTTGTTGGACTTGCTAAATGTGGATACCTACTCGAGGTATGGGGGTTGGAATTCACAAAAGGGCCTCTGTAGTATTGAGAAGCTTGAAGCCTCGATTGTGATGGCAAGGTTCCCGTCATGGGAAAGTTTGCATTACTGTTTAAACTGTCAGGTCCAAAACTATCACTGTCTGAAGGGTATTTGTTCACAGTCTTCGGTGATGATGACTTCTTATTCGAATAATATTGATCTAGTAAGTCTTTTCCTGGGTGATTTTTGATCGAGTGTTCTAGCGAGCTGGGTGACTTCCTCGGGACAAAATCCAGAGAGTTTGGGCCTTTGTTGACCATGAAGTCTAAGGAGTGCGGGCTTTTAGTCCGGTTGCGGGTCACTGGCTGGTAGTCCAACGAATCGTCTGACGGGTTTAGAACTAAGCTCAGTCGATTGGGCGTGACATCGTGTTCGGAATAATCACTGATGGACATCTTGTCCTTCTCTAACGTACGAATCTTCTCGAAGTTCATACTGTTTGGGGAGGCGAACGGCTTGTGTATGGTTAAAGGGGCCGGCTTCGGGAAGTGTTCGATTGCTGGCGACGACTCTATGGACTTGTACACTGAGTGGCGAGCTGGCGTGGTGGCTTGCGTGAGGGGCGCATGACCCAAAGGTATGGGATTCGAGTTTCTATTGGTGTTTGACCGCTGCGGTTCCGGCGGGAGTTTTGTAGGCGGGCTGAGTAGGATGGAGAGAGGCGGCCTCTCCTTCCTGGAGCGAGGCTGCACGATGGTTCCAGTGGAGTTCTCCTCTAGTATGAAGTTGGCCCTCGCCTTGGGCCACGTGCCACCATTCTTAGAATCACTCTGTGACTCTTTATTCTTTCTCCGCGAACGTTTTAGCACGCTACTAGTTTCTTTTACTGCAAATACAAAAATAACAATATAATCACAAATAGATAACTAAATTCGTAACCTTACTCATTAGCTTTCTAATTATGTCATGCAATTAATTAATACATTACTCACTTGTTTTTCCATGATAACTATCGATAACGGAGTCTAGCTCCGCGATCGCATCAGATTCCGGCACCTGTGTAAATAACACACATTACTAGCGATGAAACAACTTTGTCGAAAGTATACTGACGTCACACATGCATAATATGCATCAGAGGGAAAATTTTGTGTAGGAAATAAGACTAACGGCTACTCAGGTTACAGGTGTAAGAGCTACTGTAATTAAAATGTAAGTTATCGAACGTATTACAGTGATAAGACGAACTTGCAATCGGCGAGTCTACAACTAATGTCTGCGGACTTCCCCTGACTTGACATAACTTTCCTACTTGGCGTTAGGCACGCCAACTACGCCGCGCGCTTTTTCTTGCATATTTATGATAATATTCTCCATAAAAAAATATGTATTGTTATTATAAAGACCAGAATATTTCGACTTTTAACATTTAGACTTAGAGAGGCGCGGGTCACCCGGTTTTAATGTCACTACGATTATGTAAAAAAGTTGTTTGTTTAATACATATCATATTCGTAACACGTATTCGTAAATTTAATGAAAAAAACCAATATGCCATTTTGCAAGGTAACAAAATTAACGTCGAATACAACTAAAAGGAATTGATAAGCTTAATTTTTGTCTGTGGATCAATATTTTACATATAAGGACTACCTATTGAACTAGATTTATCCAGTTCAAGCCATTCTGGATTATACCTAAACTGGTAAAATCCAGCTCTAAGCGGCTCATCGACCGATTACAAATTTTCTGCAAAAAACATTATCACATCAACACATGCGTACGCGCATCGCACGCACACAACGCCAATGTTTACATGAAAGCGTGTTTATAAGTAATATTTACCTTATTCTGTTTATCCTTGGACTTGCTGCGACCCGTCACCGCCTCAATTTTCCCCCGGATCATATCCCATGTCCCTGCGACCATCAATGGATTGATATCTAATCGATTTAAACGCTATCTTATCATATCGATACACACGTCAAGTGGGGCACGCTACGTACAAACATCAAACGATTATAATACCAAGAGCTTAAGCGATGTTGTCAATATTTAGTTTCTTTTTTATGTGAGGAATAAATGGGCGAGTAACTTAAGCAGGATTTAGTTCAGATAAATATTTTGATAAGATAACTTGGCACCTAGTTTTTGCTTGTTCCCATAATATTTTGATGTGTGTGACATAGTTTGCATATATTCCTTACAAAATATAAACCACGTGTAACAAAGAGGTGTGGTCATAAGTTAAAGTGTCAATGTACTTTATGTTTACGTTTAAAATTGACTACAGTACCGACTTTTTAGCGAAAAAAATATAGCGAAGCGCTTTGGTTGTGGTCAATGAACCTTTTAAATTAACAGATATTAGATAGAAAGAGGCCATAGAATTGGAGTTACTATACAACAATTTTAGATTACATTAACAAGTATATTAAGTCTGCCAGGGTTGCGGGAAGAGCTCAATAAGATATTGCAGCCTCAGGTTAGAACAGGAGAAGGAACAGAGGCATTTTTGTCAGTAAGAGTCTCTCGCCTCACCCTGGGCGAGAGAATAAGTTATTTGATGATATTTCTATTACCAAAATAAGTATGTAAAGTTGAAAAGGCCATGTTTTTTATACACAATCTTACCTCTCTCCTGTGGAATCTTCCCCTGGCTCCCAGCGGCTACATGGTACACATATCTTCTGTCGAAGTCTGGCATACCGTGATCTATGTGGACCTGTCACACAAACAGAAAAATACAACATTATTATTATTACTATACGATAACCGAGTCACAAACAAGACTAGCAGGTGTGTGTGTGTGATATAGAAAAATCGAGACACAAAATATAGGACGCGATAAGATGCACAGAGAAAGTTTTGGAATGAGCAAACCTGCCTTTGTTGAGAAGAAGTCAATTTTATATAGTAGGAAAACTAGATGTTTTGCAGAACTTTCCCTGTAGAGGAAATAATGACATAGCTGTTTGACATGCGCCATGAATTTAATAAAATGACCAACAAATGTGGTGTTTACTTATTTCTACTTTTTTATCTACGTTTCCGCATAGTTAAGAGACAAAAAAACATCAAGAGTTTAATAGCCCAATAAGATGGACAAATCAGTTCCGAACAACATTGGTCTCTAGCCGGTCGTCTAGCCTAGTGGGTTGGATCCATACGGCCAATTAAAGAAATTCAAATGAATACGAAATACTTGTATAAAATTATTCCATAACTACAAAATCAAACAACAACAATAAAGGTGTAGTATAAGACAAAGGATAAGGAGAGGAGGACGTTAAGTAAGAACGGATGAGCCATGCTTTGCCAAGAACGAGCTGGCTCGACCGGAGTAAGTCCGCGGCCTTACAGAAAACCGGCGTGAAAGAACAACAGCTTAGTGGGAGCCCAATATTTCTGCTGCCAACTGACTCGTTACTCCTCGGTTATGGCGAGAGTCCATGGGTAATGTAGGATCATTCGCCGCCTTCTCTCATTAAAAAATACAACATTAATAACAACTTCTGCTTACCTTAGTATCGGAGGGAGGCTGTACAAACTGACACCAAGATTCATCAGTCTGCGAGCAGATGTTTACCATCTTACTGTCCGAGTACGAGCGCGAATGGTCGTACATCGACATCCTGCCAAACGAAAATACACTGTTTGTTTATTGGGATAGAGATCAATTTGCTTAGAGCAGTCTTGCGTAGGTATTTTTATTAGTATTGAGGAAATGAAACACATAATAATATCAAGACTAATGTTATATGATCACGGTAATCTCACATTTTTGGAACGTAAATAAAGTCTATTATTGCGTGAATTAAGGAAAATATGCAAATAGATATGACAATAAAAATAAAAGAAATTCTTTAGATTCACAAAAATGATTGATAACACCTATCAAAATCAAGTCAGGGTCAAACAAAATTCCTTTCAAATGAGACACTACAAAAATTCTAAGATCGGAGAAAACTTTTAGCACTCACCATCGCTGATCGAATGATACTGTTAGATCAGTGTGGAGTTATCTCAATGCGACCTTTATCTCAAATATTTGTTCGACGGATATCGGCCGCCATTGTGATCGTACAAAAATGATCACAAAGTTACCAGTGTTGGTAAACAACCCATTTAACCCCTTTTTAAACTAAAACTTGATAACTTGGCATTGTTGTAGACGTGAGTTAAGGCCTGTTTATTAACTAAAAATTGCGGGTTACTCACGTGTATATACTGAGAAAAGCTCTACTAGTTTCGAACCACAGAGGGGTTCTTCATCATGAGCAGCGTGCGTTCTAATTTGATTGGTTCTTATCTGTTTAATTTGTATGGAGGCTATAATTGGACATTTGAACCATGTAAAAGGACTATATAAAAAAATATAGCTTAAAAGTAAACAACTGACTGCAAGTTTGGCGCAGTGGCTGAGCAACGGGCTGCCGTGCAAATTATCGCGGATTCGATTTCGGCACGGAATAACTCTTTGTGCGAGTTTGGGTGTCATGTGTATTGGAAACAGCAGCGGGTCGCTTGTATTATAAATTATGTTTTTTTTTTCTAGCAATATAATGTATAAGGAATCTTACCTGTCTCTAGTATTATTGCAGCATGTATATAACGGTCTGAGCAGAGTGAGTGCGACAGACTCGTACTGGCACTCATTCAGCAACGCCATCGCCTCCGATACACTCTTCACACCCTCCAGGGACACGTTGTTTATCTGCAACATGAATACAGAGGAATTTCGACTTTATCACTATATAATGCAAAGTTGAAAATGTATTTAACATTATTTGCATGTCCATATGTTTAATTAGCGACTTTATAATTAAAGTTTAAAATCTATTAAAGATTGGTATTACTTGCATGTTGTTACTTAGAAGCGATTGTATTAAAACAGGTTAAAGTTTAAACTCTATTGGAGATTTATGGACGCGTATATTTATTTATTTATATATATTTTATTATACACATTATTAAAAATTCTAAAAAGAGCGGGCTTACAACAGACAACAAGCTTATAGTTTGATGTGATGCTGTCTATGTTATTTGCATAGTATATCAATCTATGCTCAGTTATGTACTAGTGATAAATAATACTATCTGTTATCAGTTTTCATCCTTGGAGCTTTTTATTATTTTATTCTTAAGGTATAAGTTATAATCTCAAAAATAATAAGGTCGTCAATTACAAAAAATAAATAAAGGAGTTTCTGAAAAATTGGTCCAGTAATTTCGTAACAAATATATGTTAATTTTGTGTTTGTAATGTATACTCACACTAACAACGCGATCGCCGACATATAAATTGCCTTCTTTGGCAGCAGCGCTGCCGTTTGCTATTTTGCTTATGAAAATACCTGTAAACAATATTGTTAGTTAATATATAAAGCATATCAATAACGTCAATTGTGATTTATGTGATGGCTTATCCATACTGATCTTCAAGAAGCTACCCCAAGATAGAAACGTATTTTATGAGCAACTGAACAAAAAGGAAATATGATAGAACATTTTTATAGTAAGTATCAAAAAATGTTTTTATATTCAAAGCGTATCTTAGTTTTTTTTAATAAAAAAATGTCTTACTCTAAGATTTTCTCCAGTGTTGTGGGTGCGTTTATTAACATAGAATTTCACATACACATGACCTCTTGATCTGGAACTATAATTTTTGAACACACAAAGGGTTTGAGGGAATCGAATTCACGTGTCGCGGAATGCTGCTCATGAATATGGGCCTCTAGCATGGCTTGCAACTAGTCGAGTATCTCGTCAAATTATTACGTAAGTAAGCCGAAATCATAATAATAAATTTAGAATGTGTCACCAAAGTTATAATAAAAATATTGAAAAGTCGAAAACATAGTAATAAATTTAGAATGACTCACGATCGTTATAATGCAAAGATTGAAGAGGAAGGTGTATATGTATAAATTGAGAAGTAGGCAGGTACCGTGTTGCAGAGCGATGCCGCGCGCGTCGGAGAGATGCATACGGTGTCGGGCGGCGCGCGGGCGCTGCAGACGGAGCGCGGCGGGCGCGCGGGCCAGCGCCCCGCGCAGCGCGCCCGCCGCCGCCGCCCCGCTCGCCCACACGCACACGCCGCACGCCTCCGTCACGCGGTCCTGCACTCTGCGGGGCAGTCTTACTTAGTCCGACCACTTCACATCCTCATCATTAGCCGCACCATCCGGTGGCATTGCACACAACTACATAGTTTACATGATTTAAAAAAACCTATAGGAGATCAATACTAAGCAAAAATCTCTTCTCACAAGAATAAGGTTTGAGCATAAATCACTATACTTGCTCATAGTGAATTGACGATTTCAAACATATAAGAAGGTTAGAAAAATCTCTGAACCTGAAGGTACCCCCAACATGGGAACCTCAACCCCTGAATTGCCATAATCATAGGCTCCAATTACTTATACAAGATAATTCCTCATGAACAAAAATTTTAAACTTAAATAAAGTTAATTCATTCATGTGACAATAACATGGAACATGAAGGCAGATACTTTCTGTATCCAATAAACCTACCTAAATGACAACCCACCAAAAACATTTCTACCAATAAAACAATCACACACACGTACAATTTAAAAAAACGTAATTAAAAATATTAAATTAGTTTTTTTTTTATTATTGGACGCATATTTTTCTACTACCCCCTACTTTTGTTATATTGTTTTACCATGCTTTATGTATTTTTATTTTTAACTTTATTTTGATTATCTTGTTCGTTTTGTATCTTTTATCCGTCCCAGACGAGAATAAATACTTTTTGTTTATTTTCCCCTAATAAAAGTAGACCAAAATGAAAAATAATAATATCCATTTACAAAAAAGTTCTTAAAACACTTACTTGATCTTGCCATCAGCTATGGAGCCTTTTTTAACAGCAGTAACGTATATGCTGCAGTCGTTGGGATAGTAGGGCTCCTCCCGGCCTCCAGCCAGTTCGAAACCCAACTCCCCGTCCTTGCCCAAACCGGACAACTCTACGTCGATTATTTCCCATTCGAAGTCCTGCACAAACAAAGCGCTTATGTAGTGAAAGAAGATGGTAGTAACCTTTCATAAGATCCTTTTAAAGCTTATTTTTGTTTTTTTTTTGCAACCACTCTTGCCATATGGTAGTATAAAAATCGGAACTTGTATGAAGGGCCTAAGACATTCATGTCAATAAATAAAAAAAGCCTTCAGTTTACTACCAGAATACCAAAACAAACTAGTCTATGGTCTATTGCTTTAGATAAATTACTAAATTTAAACAATCTAGGAATGACTTTTTGCCTAAAAACTATATGTAAAATGTTAACAATTAGCTATTTACCATACCAAAATCGATGTTAGCTAATAAACCAAACTTGGGTAAATAATCTTTGTAGGTATGTATTTTACACGACCTTTTTAACATTGTTTACCTTTATTTAACCACCTAAATCGATAGACCATAGCAGTCTAGACTAAGTGAAACCCTATTAGTTCTTTCTAGAGAGACTAATAATTATGCTCTCACTTGTGACAGCCATTGTATGTAATAATGGCATACTTTTGTCTAAATATAAAACTCAGACGTCCATTAATATATTCCATATGAGGTTAGAAATAAAAACAGTTGGCACTAGACTCTCGAGCATATCACTTGTCTCCACACACATAACCCGATCACACAATAACACATTTCAACGACTTCAAAAAAGAGAAAAATAAATAATCCCTCTTTATTTTCAATGTGTTTTTTACCTGAATATCAGTATCGACAGCGGAGTCCCTCGAGTGTGTATGCCTCCTGCAGTCTTTGCGATCATCGTCTTCCGTTATCGTGGACCGTTTGTCTTTACCCTCCTTCTTGTTGCCATGGCGACGGGCGCACTGTAACAACAAATCAGTTTTAAATAAGCCCCAATTTTGATGCGCAATCTGAATTGAATTATCGAGCAATGCGGCGATTGCTATGAGCCCCTAGAGTAGCTTGAAACTAGTCGAGCTTTCTCGTCAAACAGTCACCTAAGTAATTTTACATAACTTTTATTGTTTTACCAATTACTCGTTAATGTTGATAAATTAGTTAATTTTAATTAGATTATTGAACCAATACTCACAGTCCTATCCCATAGAGGAGCGTCTGCCAATTCACCTACCATTTGGTCGCGTTCCTGAAATTAAAACAAAGTATTTTAAATGCAAAAATTCACTACTCCTTTGCTACATTTTCATTAGTACAACATATCTTTGCATAATATGTAAACGAGGTTTTCATTGTTAAGAAAAAAATATTATATATATATATATATATATATATATATATATATATATATATATATATATATATATATATATATATATATATATATATTTTAACAAATATTTTACCTTTCTCAGTCGATTACAGAGTGCTTTCACGCTCTCTCGCTCTTGCAATAGCTTGTCTCTCTCTGAGAAAGCCCAGTCTCGTCGCCGTTTCGATACCTGAAAGAACAAAGATAGATTGAGAATGTCGATATATATTAAAAAATGTAATAAGTAATTCGTGAATCTAATAAACAATATATACGTATAGTTTAACGAAGCCAGGAACATTCGTCTTAGTTCGAAAATTGTGTTTACCTTTTGTTTTGACAAAACAATAAATGTGAATGAATCGCGGCGTGGCTTCAAACAAGTCGAGGTACCTCGTTACAAAGTCAAATCATACAAAAATAAGCCGTAATGGGCAATTAACTTCATAGATCTTACATGAGTTACAATTACAATACAGTTCACATAAAGTTGAAAATCAATTGGCATAGTTAACTATGCCAAAGTACTTATAAGGCCAGGTGATCAACCTATCCTTGTCCTTTCGATCATATTTTGTTATTAGTTTTTCAACTATATTGTTTGATATAAAGTCGAAAATCCTTTAAAATTGGAGTACGTTGACTTGCTGGCCATTTTACCTACATCAAGAGTGGACTGTGCTGAAATATTTATATTTCTTTAAACATGCCCCACACTTGGACACTCTCCTGTGTCGTGAGAGTGCTTACAAACATACAATTTCTCATACACAACACAGATATATTTGTTTATAAGTGAGTACCTCGGCTTCCCTCTGCGCGTCTGCGAGTTCGGCCTGCAGCCTGTCGATCTGCTTGCGCAGGCGCTCCAGTTCCTGGTTGGCCTGCTCCAGGTTGTCCACGCGCTCCTTGTCCACGCCATCCACCACCATGCCCACTAGACCTGGGGACACAGGAGAATGGTAAAACTGTGTCCTTTATAAGATAATCGATTAGCATTGATAGTAGCCAAATTCAATATCTTTATGTAAGCGAAAATCGATTCAATTTTCAAAAAATATTGTTTTTGAGACTATATGACTGCTTTGTTTATTGTCATATGAACATTAGGTACTTTTACAGTCAAATATATTAATTAACATGTGGGTTTTAATATTATCTTGTAACTAACTATAGTGCCAAATTTCTTATACTTGGAGATTGAATATAATAATTGATCAGGCCTATATTTCTTCTCGCCTTAATTTCTCTTTAAAAGCGAAATCTCTTACCTTGCAACTTATCCAATGATGGATCATTGGAGTGTTGACCGTTCAGAAATCCGTCATTGCCCACACCACTTGCTAGCCCCAAGTGGTGGTACGCCGAGGTGTCTTGTCTGGAAAAAAATTGGATAGTTTCCTAGGTCAAAATAAATTACTTCGATGTTTCAATACAATAAGATATTGAAAAATAACTATACTTTCATTCATTGATCGATCAATACACTAAATTTAAGCTAATTTTTAAGAAATAAATAAGCTGTTTTTCTTAAAAATACTATGACGTCATAACTCAGTATTTAATACAAATTTCATAGAAAAGTATCATTTTGACATTTGGATAAAAATTTCGAATTTGACTAGTTGGAAACTACCGTATTACATGTTTTACTAATTTTAACATAAAGTCTATATTTGCTGAGCACACTCTGATCTTTGCTATTTGAATGGTATTCAACAGTCAACCAGTCAGATCAGTCAATTCAGAAGGCTCCTCCTCCCCCCACCCTCTTCCCCAAAGTAATAATAAATGAAAATAGGCTTCAACAAATAAAGTAATATAAAAAAACTTCATAAATTTCACTTGTTGCAACTACAGCAGTTGCACATACCTGGTATTCAGGTATCGAAAAATTACACATACCTGGACTTCCCTAGTGTAGATGTGTTCTGTGGTGTCTTGAGGTCCGTGCACTCTTTGATGGCGCGGTCCCGGTCCACCAGTGCAGACTCGATCTCGCGACGGAGACTTTCCGCCTATGGGAGACAAGGAGAAGATCTCATTATCATTAATGCACATACATACATGTTCGATATTTATCACTGGACTTTTTTATCTTTTCCTCTGTCTTAGCCCCCTCCATCGTTTTTTTCTTTGGTTGCCCCTTCTCCGGAACCCGCCGACGAACGGTGTATACGCAGTTTGGCGCGTATTGATCGGTATTGTTCGTCGGACAACTCAGCAGCACTAGCTATACTGGTTGCAAACTGACGCTTGCGTGCCTGTCTTCAGAACGGGTCTACTAAAACTTGTGCGGTTCTTTTCTCAAAAGACCACTACAGAATGAACTTGCACGGTTCTCTCACATTATGTTATTTTTACATTGTCTGGACTTGAAAAGAGACTGACCTCTGAGTTTGTTTCGGCATTTCTTCTCAGAGTAGTCAGAAGGGAAATGCCGGCGTCATCTAGTTTCTCACATGTAAGAAACGTGTTTGACGTGTAAAAGTGCCGTTTTATGGCCTTTTTGCAAACATAAATTCATTATTTGTTTCATTGATGGGTTTACAAAATGTAATATACTGTCACTCTACTCTCTGTACTGGTATCCCCTCTACCCTCCCCTATTTTCATTTTTCTACTTCTTTCTGTCTCTCACCTGTAGTGCAGTGGCCCTCTGTTCCTCCCTGGAGGCCTGTAGCGCGGACTCCAGCGCGGCCACTCGTTTGAGGGCCGCCTGCAGGTCGTCGGACAACTTCTCCATCTCTTTGTGTACTGTGTCCCTGTGACAAAAGAAATAGGAACATGATATTATGTAGGTATGATATTATATAGGTTAAGCTCCCACTTCTCATGCGGGTTCGAAACCAATAAGACTTTTTCCAAGTCATATATACTTTGTATTATTATTTAGACATCACTGACAAATGGTGAAGGCAAACATCGTGAGGAAACATGAACTTATAATTTCTAATTATAAGCTTGAAATTGCCAAGCCACCTTGAGCAAACATGATGATTAATACTCAAACCTTCTCCTTGGGAGAAGAGGCGTTTGCTCAGCAGTGAGCACTTATAGGCTGATGATGTGATGTTATACAGGCTAACAGTGAATATAAATTTGATGGATGAGAATTAACAAAAGTCGTTTTACGTTTAACGTGTCTCATTCACCACACAATTTATTTGTAGGTAAAATGTTATTAAAACTTAATAAACGTGAAATGTCCTAAACTTATTTCCAACCACCAAATGACAGCAAGCATCTTCTTTACTCTATTCACTTTTCTTCGCAATCTTATAAACGAAGATCTTATATCGAAATCTTGAAAAGAGACTGACCTCTAAGTTTGTTTCGGCAGTCCTTCTCGGAGTAGTCAGATAGGAAATGCGGCCATAAATACGCACTTTCATACGTCAAATAAAGGCTTCATTTGACGTATAAAAGTGCCGTTTTATGTGCTATTTGCAAAAATAAATTAATTGTTTCATTAAACTGAATTTTCCCTCTATATAAGCTTTAAATGTCATTTTGCCTTCCTCACAAGACATACCTCTCACTCATGATGAGCGTGTACTCTGCCATGGCGGCGTTCCTCTCGTCAGTGAGGCGCTTGATGTCAGCCCTCTCCCGCGCGCCCCCCTCCCACTGCCGGACCACGTGCGCTACTTGTTGCTTCAGGGCGTTGCGCTCCCGGATCTGATACACAAACATAATATTGTGAACACGGCCTTAACTCAAGTCACAAGGAAATAGACAAAATAGCTTTTTTGCGCATCAAAATGTAATGTGAAAAAATTACAAAAAAAATATCTTCTGGCTTTTTCACATGAGATTGTTTTGATATAGATGGCGAAATAAACATCTTTTATACTTCTTTTTAAGATGGTGGAAATTCTTCTGTCCGTCCGAGTGGGGTTAAAATGGAATGTCACTCTTACTGACTAAAACCCGTTTCTTTACTTGCTCCAATCCAGGGCTGAAGTACATCATTGCGATTTTATTTTATGGGATAAACTCATCCGTACTATCCGTACTCGGATTACTCGATGGCAAGCAATCTCTCTGCCTTGACCATCATGGCTACTCTCCAAAGTAGTTACTCAACACTCAAAAAAGTAAGTACTATAAGTAAGTTGCCGCCCTTTTGTTAGTTATTAGAGATATACAGTTTTCGTACTTAATTTTTGAGGCATGTGTATATTTGTGAGTATTTTTATGGGCACACAAATATGTTAATACTCACAACAGCATTCCTCTCTTGCGTCAAATCATGACACTGTGTTTTCAGTCTGCTATTCTCTTCCTGCACGATTCGGAGTTTTTCCAGCGTAGTATTGTGCGTTTCTATTAGGTCGTCGTATCTGTAATAAAATATTTATACAATAATCTTATTTTACTATTGTATTACTCTAACGAGAAAGTGTATCTCTTAGGCTTATCTGTGGTCTTGTGAAGAAGATTGGTAGCAAAGGAGGCTAGCTACAAAGAGTTCAATGCAGACAAAAATAGAGTATGTTTAAGGAGGTCTACAGCAAAATGTTGGAGATAGGCCACACAGGATGAAGTCCTCTTCAGAACAAAATTAGATTTAAGGACATGGCCAAAAAAGTACATTCCACGTACACAAACACAATTAATACACGGTAAAATATAAATAGAAATATGAATTATTACGTAGTTTTTAGCCTCTCCAGACCTGACAATTATTATTAAAAACATGTAAAAGTAATTCAACAAAATCAACTTATCGTTTGTCAAGTTTCGCCATAATAGTCCATAGAGAAAGACCATAGAGAAAGATATTTATCTTTCTCTATGGTCTTAAACTACATTCATACGATACTGTATTCATTGGTTTTAGTTGCATTTTAAAATATACTCATATTGTAATAATATTGTTCTAATTTTTATCCAATTCACCAAAAAAAAAACTTATACGAAACGGAACGTGTTTGACACTTTTGACAGCGTGTTTTTGTTAACCTTGCTAATAATACTGGAGTAACTATTTTGCGTTTTGGATTTGTTTTGTGGATTACGATGAGGTGCATCAACTGCGGAATAGGCGTACAAAGGCTGCAGAGGCGTCTTATATCCTCGCTTTCTGCACACCATCCAACAATACTTTCACGTTGGTTAACCATAGCTCAAACCCAGGTATGAAGTCGGAATAGTATAATACTTAGTCTGTTTTTTTATGTTTTATAATGGTATGCGATTTTAAATAGTGCATCTTTTTTTTAGTTGCCTCTGGGGACATTCATTTGTCAACCATGCTTCTTATTATTGAATACTAAGGCTGGTGAACATGAGAGACTACTGGGGCATAACATGGTTTGCCTTGGTTGTAGTATGGACTCTCCATTGCTAGCTGGCCTAATATCACAAAATACTATTAATGTGGTAAGCATTTTGTTTTTTATTCATTGTTTTATATATGTACTTGTATTTATCTATATTAATCTACCTATAAAAAATAGTACTCATAGTAGGTACGTGTGATTATAATATCTATCTTTATGTATTTTCCATGTTTGAATAGACTTTTTTAAAGTAGGCAGGCATGTTGTAACATAATACTTCTCATTGTACAATAACATAAAACATGAAAACATGTGTTTATTCTAACTGGGGTTTATTTTCAGACCTCAAGAAGCAACTATGTTTGTCATGTGTGCTGGATGCGGGCAAATAGACAGACAGTGCAGGACTTATCACGAAACTTGCAGGAATTGGGTTCGGACAACAATGCAGCAGCCCCTTATATTCAAGTGGTTAGCCCACCAGAGCCACCACCATTACCACCTGTTTTAAGCAGGCCGCTTCAAATTGAAAGTACTACCATATTATTACCCAATTGTACAGAATATATATTACAGAAACGTTTATTCCATACACAAACATAATAAAATACATTGTATAATAAAAATATAATAGTGAATTATTACGTAGTTTTATTTTATTTGTTCTCCTTAATAAATAAATCATTATTATTTATACCTATTCTATTGTTTTATTTTATTAATAAATAAATAAATAATTAAAACGCCATGGTTTTTAAAAGCAAAATCTTATTTCGTGCACTTATGGCCAGTAATCTGACTAAAGGTTTAGTGAAACTATTTTCGTCTTGTGTGTTATAATTACGAGTTCTTCATGTGTTTTATTTATTGCAATTAAATTTAATAATATTCACGAATGTAAACACCAAAAATCATTGATGTACATTGAATTCAATAACTATGCAAACGCCTATACAAAAGTTGGCCATGTCCTTTCTCTCTTAAAAGAAATGGATATCGAAGCAAATAAGAATACAATAAAAAACTGCAGTTCAGACTTAACATAGTACAAACCTCTTTTGAAAACAGTCAAGTTCCTCTTTGAGTGCTTCATATTTCCTTAGAGTGTGGACGAGGGCGTCGGAGCTGCCCTCTGGGTTGCTGGTCTGTTGCAAGTGTTGTACCTCGCGCTCCAAGCTATGGACAAATCATTTTATTGCACATATAACTAAATATTAAAATGGATATATTATTACACATACTTACATTAATTTTATTTATTTTTTATTTCGATTAAAAACTTTTTGCACAACCATAATTGTATGTAGGGCAGACTTAAAGCAATGAGCATTCTCTTCGATTCTACCTTCAGGTGATGCAGGACAATCCAGCACAAGACAGCAAGGTAGATTTACGTATCTTTGGTGACTATACAGTATTTCAATGTTTATGAACGCACCCACGACACAGAAGAATATACAAGTGTAATATATTTGAAAAAGTCTGTCATTAGTCACTGATGTGTGAAGCTGGTTTAACTCACCGCTGGTTGTCATTAAGCAGGTCTCCGTACTTGCCGCGGAGGCTGCTAGCCTCCTGCGCAGATACCTCCAGCTGGTTCATAGCTGCTCTGTGCTGGCCGCGGAAGTACTCCAACTCCTGATCACAAAACAATCATGTCACGTTTAGAATCTCAGAAGTCCGAAAAACGATTTAACCATTAACGGTAGACGTTATGACTACATTTTTTTATGGTATAGGTCGGCAATCGAGCAGACGGATTACCTGATGGTAAGCAATCAGCGCCGCCCATGGACACCCGCGAAACCAAAGGGACTTTGAAGGTATGGGGGAAGGGGGAGGGATTGGGCCTCGCAACGCTATAGTTGTTTCACGCCGGTTATCTGTGAGGCCGTGGTATCACTCCGTTCCACCTGACCTATTCGTGCCGAAGCATGGCTCTTCCACACTTTAATTACTTGTGACACAGAAAAGAACAGGCAGGACCACGCCAGGACTATTGTTCGAATATCACAACAAATAACAAGAAGGCCTCATTATAATGAATATGAATAAAAATATAATTGAAAATTGAAAGGACAAAAAAAAGACTGAGTTAATAAATATAATGAAAAAAAAACTGACCTTCATAACATGTTCGCAGCGACGCGAGGTCTCCGTATGCTGACGGCGCAGCTGGTTGAGCTCATGCAGGGCTTTCTCGCATTGCTGCTTCAAGCTCTCATTGGTCTGTTTGTTAATGACGTCATACTGCAGCGGCTCGTAGGGGCCGCTCATCACGTGCGCGCCGTGAGACTTCACCGTGTAGTTTTGTTTCTCGTAGCACTGGTTCGAGCTCAAAACTTCATACTCGATGGGGATAGGGATCGTCGGCAGCTGAGCTACGTTGTGACGCTCCGTGCTCACGTAATTGTGGGATATTGATTCTGAAATAAAATCATATAGATAAGCAAAGCATTCATTTAAAACTATACCTCAGAAAAACCATAAGTAAATAATAATTTGGGTATTTAGGAAGGACTGAGGAAAAGATCAGCAATTAAACAAAACGAATCACCTGATCTTTTTTATTCTAATAATGAAGTAGACATTCTTCATCCATGAGCAATAACAAGGAAGAAAAAATATGTTATTGTACCTAAATAGTTTTTGCATGACAAATCAAATAGTGTAGGAAAATGTCTTGGTATTTATTATTTAATATTATTATTCTTATAAGTAATGTCTTCCATAAAAAATACTTATTTTTGGTATAGATGAATTTTATTCCTTTTATTCAGCATATAAACATATGAATTACACTTTTAAATATTTCTTAAAAATAAATAATAAAAAACATTTAAAAATATAAAAAATAGTGTCCCACCGGTATCGGGAACAGGGTCCAAGCTACCGGCGGTCAGGGCTCCAGAGAAAGGAACCTTCTGACAATACGAGCCGTGTCCAGGAGTACCACTTTCTGAATCAAGCCCTTAATCCAGCCACCTAACGAGAGCCTCCTAAGATGTTGGTCGAGGCTCTTGGCTATTAAGCCATTGGCTGACACGACTATCGGTATAATGATAGCTGAATCCACTTCCCACATGTCGACAACCTCGTGTGCCAAGCCGATATACTTGATCAGTTTAGTATAGATGATTATTATTAATATTTTCATCAATGTGTTTTTATTTATTACATAAGGTGATATCTTACTGTACCAGGAATTTATCTGTCAGTTATCTAATCTTGTAGAATTTGAGGGTCTATCCTAATCAATAAACCAAAGATAGTTAACTAAAACCACAGAAACACCTTTATCTATTAAGAAAATAAAGATTCTGTCTTGTTGCTAAGGTCAAGTGGGCGTAAGTGTGTTGAGACAGGAGATTTATTTAAAAAAAGAAAAATAAGCCTGATTCTGTTTAAAAAAATCTTAATTGCAATTATTAGTGTTGCCATTGCTTAGACTTAAGGGAATAAAAACCTGGACACATAATTAAGGAAGATAACATAACTACCACTATATAATGTTTTAAAATACTTTTACAAATTACCACCCCTCCCCTTCCATTCTACTCTCAAGTTGCAATGGGAATGTTAACAAAGGAAATGTTGTCAAAAAATTGATCTGTCATAGGAAAACCACATGTTTATTCTGCATGCCATTGGAATTCATGGTATCATTACCTTCCGAGTTGGTATGTACATCTACTGGTAGCAAAAAATTATATAAAAAAATCTAACTTATTTCTTAACATTTAACTATTACAAACAGCGACTCCAGTGCAGTTTGATGCATGCTGTGGCTTTTCAAGTTTTTGTAATGTATAGACGAGAAGAAGAAGAGAAGACTTCTCTTGATAAAATAAATTTGAATATCTAATACAAAAATAATTTTAAATTTGAACCAGTAGTTCCTGAGATTAGCACCTTTAAACTCACAGACCTTTCTTTTTCATAACATTAGTTTAGATTAATCTATATAGTTATGTATAACAGCAGGTGCATATATTTAATCAAGTGATGGCTGCAACAGAAAAGAGTTTCATAATGTCACTCAACACACAGATCACAGACACACTTGAGAGTACTGGTGATGTATAAAAAAAATAAGGCTGGTTACTTATACTAAAGTCGACATAGACATATTTGATTGAAAACCTACTTATAGCTACTTATCACATTTCTTACAACAGAGGCAGCTTATTGCTGTACAAATTCAAAGACTTGTTTTTAAGAATTTGTAAAACTGACAGATACTCAAAAATCATTTAATCTTTACGGATCCTACTGCGACCGGACCACAATTCTACTTTTTGCGGTCTGAGTAGCCAGAAGCCTTAGTCTACTACTAAGACCTATTTGAAACCCAGAAATATTATTGATCATAGTCTTGCTAGTTATTATTGTGACCACTACTCTAGTTAGACTGCATATTAATAACAATCTAATAAGTTAGATATACTAACCATTACTGCCATTACTCTCTAAAGATGAAGTCCCAGATGCCATAATATGTCTGAAAATTAAAAAAGAAAAGCAATCACACTTTATTCAATGCTAGAAATACTAGATTAAAGCCTCATTGACATAATACAAGTCTCTTGCTACATACAAGAGAATTGCATCATGTATGTATACATAATAATAAAATAAAAAATTGCTTCATTACAAATACACTATACTTAGGGCTGATTTTTCAATGGTTAGATAAAAGTTACCTAAGGAATAATAGTGATGCTGTTACATCAGAATATTTGTATAAGACAGTGACAGCAAAAATTTTATTCCATAGATAACATTTACCTGACTATTGAAAAATCAGCCCTTAGTGTTATACACAATTACAAATTTTTAAACTAAGCCCTATCATATATGATACATATCCCAATTAGCTATGGTCAATTGTAACATAAAAAGGTTTTTAAATGGCCTAAAAATAATATCATAATTCTTACTGAACAGAAATTCTGAACAGTTTCATATTTGCTGAAGATTTGTTTTTCTTAATTACTAATTTATCAAAAAACCTGAGAGCCAAGATTTTATAATTTTAGTATTAGCTTTCTAGTAGTGTAAGACTCCATAGTACATAGTAGAGGTACACCATCATTTTCACAGGGCTTTTTTTATAATTGTGAGACATACTAAAATTATTTCAAATATCACCCCAAGCACCTAACTTCACTGACAAACAATCTGACAGAATAATATTCTTTTTTGGTCAGTGGGTAGCCTTAGGGGCTGATTTTAAAGTACTGTTTATGGTTTAGTTGGAATAAATGATTTTCACTTTTGACAAACTTACTTGTGTTATTAAGCTTGAAAAGCTTGACTACTTTCAAGACACAGCAGTTTTTCTAGTTAATTTATGTGAGAAAGCCATTCTCCTAAATAAATACAAAGGGCTGGAAACAGTGATTATTAAAATACTGTGTATCCAACCAAAACTATATTGTCACAATAAAAACAGAAACTCTTCTATTGTTATGGAAGTAAATAAAATTTAACAAAAGGTTTATTATGAGAATTGGCATTGACTCAATACTTTCAACATGCAGTTTAACAAAATAACAACATGCAGTTGTATGAATAGTTAAAAATGACTTAAATATAAATATACTAGCTGTCAATATAGATTGAAGAAAAGTAATGTATTTGTAGTAATATTTAAATTCAGATAGGAACTATTTTAATTAGGTCATTGAAAAATATCTTACATTATTAATGTAGGAACTATTGGACTTTCACCATTGCAGGCACTTGGCTATAAGATTCACACTCAACTGAGATAAATAAATATCTTAGTATTGTTTTTAAATAATAAAATTAACTATGAGAATATTATGAATGAATGCACACCTAAGAGGAAATCAATTGTTAATTTATACAAAAGCATAATAGTCCATTTTCTATTTTAATACACTATTACCCTGCCATTAATTTCCTGCTTTGTTATACAAAAACTTGACCATTGACAACCAGTATATTTTTATTATAGTGTGACATTCACAGTACTATACATATTGATAGTTATTGTTATTGTTCCTTGGCACTCAATACAATAAGAATCCAGTAAAAACAACTGCTATTACCTTATTGATTAGAATTGTACATCCATTGTTCCACTACGGCGCTAGACATTGGGTCCTGTTGAAATATAACAAGTTAGGTACAACAAAACGACATGATTATAGGTAAACTGATAAAAGGAACATTGCCTAGTGTATGAGATTACTGTAAAATTAGAATATTTACTGGGGTCAATCCACTTGACATATTTTCTACGCTCTAATGACTATTACAAAACTGCACCGCGAAGCGGGGACTGTTGCGATTGCATACGACAGCCGAATAACGAAACATGAAACACCTTCACACCACACAATTATCGACTAACAGTACACAGACACGGTCCATCAACGTCGCCGCACACCCAAATCACTTATCAAACACAGCAAGCAACAAAAAACTCTCCTTTCGCTATGAATATGGTTTTCACGGTAGAACTGTCTACGAACTTATTTCACAATGTAAACATATTGAGTATTACCAAAGCGGCTCATAATCGACAATGTGCGACTCGATTCACAAATATCTATGCAAAACAAAAGCAATAATAACTTGAACAAGAAAGATAACACGTATTATCGTCAATAATTTGCCAACATTTCTCGTTTCTATACCTTTTTTAGCAAGGCAAATGAATGAATGAATGACGGACGTCGGACATATTGAACCAGTGTCACCAGAAACAATCGGATAGCTAATCGTAACTAATTGAAACTTTTTTAAAATGAGTGTGCAAAATTATTACAAAATTTTAATAGAATTTACATTGTTGAGTATAGATAAAAAGAACAGATAAAAAATAATATAAAGCAAAATATTGAAGAAAATTATTGACAAAAAAATATTAAAAAACAGTATTCCATAAAATCGCGTACCTGTAGATGTATCCAATCTTCAAATTACTGTCAAAATGATCACCAACATCATGTCAATGTAAACGTTACAGGGTAATTTTTTTATAATCTTAGACATAAAAGTTTTACAAGTTTTGTTTCAAGAAAAATTAATAGAACTTACTTTTTAAGCTGCTACCGATACAACTGTTTCTTATTTATAAAATTATGTCATAAAATATCCATCATAATATTGTCGTATTACCTACTTTAACATTTTTTAAGTTTTGAATAAATAGTATCAAAATTGGTATCTAACAAACGATTTTTTTTGGATTTTTCTGTCTATTTTTTAGATTTATTTTTATGTATTATAATCAATACAGTCTTGTTTTAAAAAAAATAAAAACTGCGTGTTTTTTCGCGCGAACTGTTCAATGTATTACAATCGTCTATCTTTTGCATTATACTATCCTCATAACAATCGATGCTACAGCTCAAGAATTGTAGACTACGATTGGTTAATAAGAAAATAGCACAGACCATCTATTAGATGAAACTCAACGTGCTGCATTCCGTAGCCGAATACCACGTTGTGATTGGTCGACTGTTAGCGACAAACATATAAAGATAACGCGCCGTATACATAGTTAGATGGGAGTACTATTTCGTCGTACAAATAAATGACACGCAATAGTGAAGAACCAATAAAAAACGAGGCGCAAATACGTGTTTTTTTATAAATTAAGTGGTCAAACACAAAAACATTTCCTCGTACATCATTTGTAACGGTTTGCAAAACAGTCGTGTGCCGTAGCAGTGTGTGATAACGTGAAAATCGAATGTTTTGATGTCGCGAGGCATGACCACGGCATGACTTCCATGCCCTGCGTACCTACGGAAGGGCGTGCGGTGCGAATTACGTTTACTATGAATGATTTTATCTCTTTCTAAACTCGAGTGTCTGTGAATGACCGAGTGTAACAGCGAGCGTACCAAATTATGGATTGAAATAGTGTTTGTTGTTGATGTATTATGATTATTTCGTAGAGATAAGATTTTTAACATTAGTGTTATCGTGTTAGTGAGGACTCGCCGCAGTTCTGCCCACGGAATAAATTCTTATGGTACTACGTCGGATTCGTTACGCCGTTCGATTTATCATAACGAGGTAGTATTTACGCACTATATGGTGATTATTTTAAGTATTTTTAGTCGTGGCGCGTGTCCGCCGACGGTGTTTTACTATTCGTCGTTTATTAGGGTGACTTTCATCATTGGTGTAAACAACTTCAAGGTTATCGGTTGGCATGTGCCAGAGTCGTTAGGTGCGGGACTGGGATGCAGGAGTGATGTCGGCGGTGGGAGGCGGGGGCGCGGGCGCCGTGGTGCGCCAAGGGCAACTGCGGAAGCTGAAGACGATGAAAAAGAAGTACTTCGTGCTGCGCGCGGAGACCCCAGAGTGTTCAGCCAGGCTGGAGTACTATGAGTCGGAGAAGAAGTTCCGCGCGGGAGTGGCGCCGCGCAGGGTGCTGCCACTCAAGAGTTGCTACAACATCATGCGGCGGCTTGACCTTAAGCAGAAGCATGTGATCGCGCTGTTTACGCGTGAGGAACAGTTCTGCATTGTGGCGGACAATGAGCAGGACCTGCATGCCTGGCTCACTGCCATTCTGAAGCAGCACCGCAGTGATGATGCTAGTGATGAGCTGCTTCATCCAATACGTAAGTGTTTTTAATTCTACTGTTGAATATTCTTATAATGTTTACTTAAACATGAGTACATACTGGAATGTTTAAGGTTATGTAGGCAACAATGTCATGTTTAAGCACTAACTCCTGAGTATTTACTATTTACCATGATACTGCCTGGGAAATATAAACCATGATGATATTTTGGTCATTATATTGTCTTAGGATTATTGTGTTTTAGGTATATGTTCTAAACTTTGAAAGGAAAACTAAACAGTTCAGAAGTTGTTTGATAAAACTTTATTCAAGTGTTTATCTACAAAAGTTTTCATTCCAACTCATTATTACAGACGCAACTAAAAACTTAATTGATGTTTACTCTATTAAAACATTGAGTTAATACAAAAACTTGATAATTCACTCTCAATGCGCTCAAAGTCATTCACATCATTAAAATGCTTATTATAATATATATTTTGTGTAAATGACAGTAGTAAAACATTCATTACTTTAACAGTAAAAATGTCTGAAATGTTGTTAAAAACTTGAATCTAACTAACTTAAAGTTTTTAAGTTTAAAATAGTTCACATAGGTATTAATTTTTATTAAAGATTCATATTTTTAAACATGGTTTAGTGGATATTAACATTAGTTTATTAGAGATAGAACATGTAAATAAGTTTAGGACGTCATAAACCAAATGAAATGAATCTACAATTCTTTTCGGTCATAATATGTATAGTGTATAATAAAATGTAATCTTAAATCATTCGTATTTATTGGTTTGTTTAAATTCTTTATCATCAAAACTTGGCCATAGACCTAGTAATCAAGTTCCGTTAGTGAAGTAACCTATTTAGTTTCATGTTATAATTGACAGAATTTTATGTCATAATGGCGAAAATTGATCAAAATATAATGAAGTTAAATTAACAATAGGCTAGCTGCTATCTTTTTCTGAAGTTATAACTATTAAGTAGTAGTAGTTCACCTAGAAAAGATTTTACACTTACAGAAATCTTATAATTCAGTGTCATCGGACAGAAATCTAATAAGAATCTTTGACAGAATACAGAATTAGCTTATAATAAGAATAAGAATTATTTATTTGTAAGAAAATGATATATTTTTTCAGATATATTTATTTATTTAAGTATAATTTATTGAAAACTTTTATGCACCTATGTGGTATGTACTCATGGAATTCTATCGCCATTATTAATAATTCTGTTACTTTCTTATTCTACACTGTGACAATATAATTAAAACTAAAATAACTGAATGTGAACAAGTGAACTGCGTAAGAAACGTAATTCGCAGTTTATTGCGTCTTAACGGAAAGCGATGTACTTGAGAGGAGTTGCGAGTGTTCGCTAGCTAAACTATAAACAAACATTAAAGTAAAATTCTAATAACTTACTTCGCATAAGTATACATACAATAATAAGCGACTGCGAACATGCCATAAAAAAGTTAAAGCACGGTCATGTACTATGGAAATTTAGGCGCGTACGTAAGAGCCGGTGTCATTGACCCTCGGTAATATTGTGATGCTGTGGGTAAACATACGAATACAATCATTAATCTTAATACGAGTTGGTCGTCGGAAGCCAGCGACGGCCCTTTTCACACGTTACGATTGTAGGATTGTGTGGGTCAGCGCGCTTGTTTTGATTTTTATAGGTATAGATTTTTCTAGTGGATTGTTTAATTTTTAATGTTCGAGGTTACAGAAAAATGCTGATATCATTATCATACTGTCATGATTAGTCACTAGTTGCTTTACGTTGGGTATACGGCGATTTTTTAAGTTATTTTTTGTATTTTGCATACTACATTGACGCGGTCGGCAGGCGTGTTTATTTTAAGGTTTTTGCACTTGTGACGTCGCCGCCGGTGTAGCCTCAGGGCTCCACAGTTCACGGTTACTCGCTCGTATGATGAACTAATCAATCAACTCATCCTACCGTAGTCCACAGGTCACTCGGACATCGCCCCAAAACTCGAGTTTTAATCGTTAACCGTAGTAAGTGATGATGAATAGCTAGTTGACATAGTATGGACTAACCGTTTATGAATAAACGGTTTACATTCCGGTAGAATGTTTCGGTTATTTTTCATGTTGTATTGAAATTTTTTTTCAATGAAGAAACTCCAATGGCTCAAATAAACTAGATAACTGAGTTTTTATAGGATAGTGCTGCGAACGGGCAACAATGGTCACCGTCCATGAGCGCATGGGCGCGTTGCAGTAAACTTTCTTCACTGAATTAGATAGTGCTTGATCCTCGAAAACTATTTTTACCTTAGCATAATCAGTTCTCTAGTTACACTGAACTGGGTTTTACCAAACTGCAATGTAATAACATAAGAAAAACCCAACTGTTCGAGATCTGAGTTTGTGGCACGGCTTGTTTGCATGTAAACACCATGAGATCATAGTCTGACTCTCTAATATTAAAGTGCCTATATGGCGATTCATAAGGATTAATGGGCTAGACCCCTAAAATTTTCTTTAATTGCCCGCCCTGGCTGCATATTTAAAGGAAAAAGCTATCTCAATTTTAGAAATAAAACGGAGAAATAACTATTAAACCACTCGTAGAACTTAATAAGCAGGTTAAACTACAAGATTCAATTTTTTGTACACTGCTCAATATAATCGAAGTGAAGTGAAGTAGGTTCCTTGCCCTTTTTTATGAGAGAAATCCATGTACAATTTGCTCTTATTTAAAGTCCAAAACCGTGCCAGAAAATAAGTTTTCGTTTTGTCCGCTTTTGCGCAGCAATGTAAAACAAAGCAGCTTTTCTAACACGACACACAGTTCTAAACTAAAGCTACTGGTTAACGTGGAGCTAAAGTGGATAGACTTGAATAGGTACCAATTTACTGGCCAGCCACTTCAATAATCTTCATTATTTCAGCTTTTAGTCCATTGCGAACTTTTTGAAGTTGGTGCAGATTAAAGCATTTTTGACGCTTTGATCAGCTTTATTGCGCATCAGTCTGCAGTGTATAAATATGTTTTCCTACTTCCGGTAACTATAGCTAGCCCTGTCTAGGAGAGCTGTGGTTCACTATTATAGAGCATATCCAAGGACAGTCATTTTAATTTGTAAGGAACACGCACGCTTGCTCTGTTGTCTACTCATAGGTCAAACGGTGATCTCATATTTGTTTGCTAACTAATTTGAGTGTTTACTAGTGCAATGATTAATTATATTGTTTATTGTTATGTCCGTAAACGATTGTGTTTACTGATCGTGGCACGTGAACTGCAAACATAGCAACGTGTTCTACATTTGTTAAATCAATTGAATCTGTCTACTCTACGTCACGTTTTCTTCTGAATATTATTGAAAAGAATGGCTTCAGTTGTCTAACGTATTAGTAGTCCATGTATCAAGTTTAACCCCGCATCAAGGTCTCGATCAAGGCCTGTCCTTAGCCTATCAATACGTGTACAAGTTCAAAAATATCGCAATATCAGCAAAAATAGCTATTGTAGTGTTGTTCATTCACATTAACTAGTAAACAATTTATTGTTTTGTATTTCAGTACGAGGTTCTACACCTACGTAATACGCTACGCATCCGATGACCTTTCCTTTGAATTGACGCGCACTAAGCAAAACATTGAAACTTTTTCGGTATACGTTTCTAGGAATTTGGAAATAAACTCTTCATTGTATAAGGATAAAAATATTACCTGTTATTAAATTTTTAGTAGTAAGCAGGTTTTAGTCGAAGTTCTGTGATTGATGGTCTGTGTTAAAAATCGAAGTAAACACATGCGGCAAAAATCGCAGAATAAGGGCAAATTCTAAGAATAAAAGCGACCGTTTTAACTAGAAACCAGACAGCAAGTTCAGGGCAATTACTTAAAACATAAATGTTAATACCATGAGCTAAAATTTGAAGGTAATATTCATGTTATATTTGTTTTTACAACGTTTATGAGTTGATATGATGATAATGAACTACAATAACAAATAATTTCCTTCAACAGTTTGTGCACAAGGACAATCAGCTGATACATTTATCTTATCATACATTACTGACTGTTACGCTCTTGATTCTAAAGGGTAGGCAGAGATATTAATGTAACAAACATATGATTCACTTTCGCAAAACATTTTAGCTTTCATTGCTGACTAAATAACGGATTAATTTCATGTCATAAATATTTGTCATAGGGACATCATCACATCGTTATCGTGATTAGAATGAAATATAGCGAACATAATCACCTAAAAACCAAGCTCAATATTTGGTCATTATCTCCTAATTTTAAAATTAAACGTTAGTAAATTAATATTTGTTCAAATTTTTTTCTTAAAAAAATACTTCTCAATTCTTTCATCGCCCGTCAAGGCGCAGTGAACACTGACGTAACGATAAGTAAACTTGCGTCATTACAACTGTTTATTTGAGAATCCCCCTCTTGTTGTATGTACTGTAACCGTTCTTTTTAACTTAACGCGTCAAAATCAAGACAAACAATCATCAATATCATCTTGGATAAACGATGCGATAAACAACGCCATCTATCGGAGTTATATGGTGTAACTTATCAATATTATCGGCAATCGTGTTTTTGCTTTTATCGCAGTTCTAGTAACAAAGATAATGACTGGTTGTAGGTTTGTAGCCCTTAGTTATTTGTTTAGGGTTTTACCCGAATGTTTTCATAATATGTTGCATGTTTATTTACTCAAATTAAAATTCATTTGTTTTATGCAAAAATAGCTTAACCTACGCAAAAACTTCATATAATATTAACTTTAACATATTTAACATGATAATATTAATTAATGTAAATTCTGCCTGCGCAAGAGACTTCTGTAACAATAATTAGTAAGCTTTTAAAATAATTCTTTTTCTTCCTACTCTGAAGCACATATTTTAAGTACCTAGTTAGCAATACAAGCTTTTCACACGGATTTAGTTGCTTCTATGTCCTGCGCACCCAACTAGTAAAAAGATTGCTTGAGAAGATAAGGTTTAGAGAATAAACAAACATAGGTTACATTCACAGCTTTATTAGTATAATTGGAATATTTTAATGTTTCGCAATATTTTCGCCGAACTGTTAATTAATTATCAATCAAATTAATCGCGACTTAGTCACAGGCGCTCCATATAAAACACAACGATCTATAAATTTAAATAAACTTTCAGGTCATTAGGTCACAGCCGGACGCTAATGACCTAGGCATTGTATGCTTGTATCTCATAGAACCGCTTGGGAATATTTTGTTAGGTACCAAAAACTGTTATTGTATGTATACTTTACATGCTTAGAATTTTAGATTTTTGTTTCCATGTGTTTCTTACCTACTACTTAATAGTTTATCATAATAAGTCATTAAATTAGTTAACAATGTAGGTATCATATTAGTGCTACACTTGTGAATTTTTGTATCTATTTTACATAATCATTTTAATTGGCGTAATGGCTACACGACGCTTAATTAAGTTGCATTTATATTTTTATGCGTAATTTAATTAAAATAAAATAAACTTGCTTTATTTAAAAATTATAGAGACTATCTTTTGAGTACTGGAAGGGTTAATGATTTGAGAGGGTTATACACCATACCAACGGGATCATGATAGAATATAATACAGGGTGTAAAAAGACACTTAACGAGGCCGTTAACTACGCATACTGCAATTCTAACTAAGTAGCTTTACGCTAAAATTATCACTGGGAAACGACTTTTTATTTTTAGAATACGATTGCGCAAAAAAAATGCATCTTTGACCTTCAATATCTCGAGAACCCGTGCAGAGTCCCAGCTATGGTCTTAAAGAAAAAAAATGATCCAAATAATGGGTAGAATACATGGCTTTCGGCTTCGTTAAGGGTCTTTTTACACCCTGTATAAGTAGTATACTAGCGACCCGCCCCGGCTTCGCACGGGTGCAATGCAGATGCTAAATCTTCTCTCTATTTAATGGATGTTATTATACAAATACAACCTCCTTTTCAACCACTCTATTCATTAAAAAACCGCATCAAAATCCGTTGCGTAGTTTTAAAGGTTTAAGCAAACATAGGAATATAGGGATAAAGAAAGCGACTTTGTTTAATACTATGTAGTGACTAGGTATAATGTTGTGTCACATACTTATAAAATCTATTAATACATTGGTGGGTGACAACCTTAGTAAACAAAGACTGTAACAGGAAAAAAAATAGCCATAATGATTAATTTCATATTTAGAAACTCAGTGTTTTCCCAAGTATGTTGTTTTTCCCTAATAATGCAGTTGTTTACGGGTAAATATAGGTAATTATTGTTTCTAGACCGGCGTTTTGAGGTCTTAATTAGAATAGATTCGGTTAAAAATAAATATATTCTTATTTAAATGTAAAATTCTCATTAAATTATAATTTATTTTATACTTACAGACTGCAATTTAAGTCTTGACATAAGATAACGCAAAATTTCGCAGATTTAGGAAGATTTCATAGACAAACTACTTAATTTAAAAAAAGTTTATTAATAATGCATAATAGGTATAACTTTGCAACTTATAAAACTGCGTTTTTTTTTTAAATTGTCCATTTCTGTCCAGCCGTTTTAGAGTTTAAACCACACAAACATTTTTTTTATATTATAGCTTTCTTTATCGTTTTCAGAGCATGTGTGGCAAGTTAACGTACAGAAAAAAGGCCTGGGTGCGACGAAGAACATCCAGGGTCTGTACAACCTGTGCCTCACCGACAAGACCCTCACTCTGGTCAAGATCAAGAGTCATAATAATGTGATCAGCGATCTTGGTCTACTGGAGCGCGTTGAATACTCTTTGAAGAACATTCGGAGGTATGTATAATTTTCTGATCTTCTGACCTATATTTATACGGGCGAAGGTCAAGCAATCATGTTATTCTATAGAAACGTTCCTTTCCTTCAGAAAATAATGTTGAGGTTATCCGCCTCCAATTTGTCTTTTGTATCTGAGCAGTTTACATATCTTCCAAGAAACCCTTTTGACTTTTAAAGATTAATTACATGTTTCCTTGTATTTTTTATATTTTTATTTTCCATCGCTCGCACCCCGTCCTTGCAGTGGTTAACGTGAAAAAAAAAACATTCAAATACTTGATAAGTAATAAAAAAAAATATATTACCGAACAATGACATGGATAGCATTTATTTTAAGAATCCATATTGATTATTTTTGCTTACAACAAACCAATGCGGTTGTGTTGTAGGTAATCTTCTAGGGGAAATACCAGAAATTGTGGTTTCACGATGTGCATTATCACGAATATTTATGCGTTTCTCCTTATTGTTGGAACTTTGAATGTAAACTATAGAAAATAGAGCTTTAGTAGTGGGTTAAACAGACTTCCAAAAGAAACAGGTTTCTCAATTCGACCATATGATATGCGTTTCTGTTGACATCTACTTGTAAAATGAGATGTGGTTTCAAGAAACCCCAAATTTACTTAACAGCATACTGCCTATCCCAGAGAGATATGAATGTCTTAAAGCCTGTCCTCACTGTTTGTCAGCTGAATTCACGGATTATGACACAGTAAAAAATAAGTTGATTCCCTTAATAAATCAATTAAAATATCTTACAATAAGTACTTCAATTTTAAGCTTAGTTTTAGTATGTTTCTACCTAATTCTAGTGACATATTTTGCGCAAAAAACAAAACAGAATGTGTTACAATTTTTATAGAAACTATACATATTCGTGTTTGATATTTTTGCCCCTAATCGGGATTGTGAAAAAGATCCACCAAGAGTTTTAACTAGATGCACGACATGCATGTCTGTGTTGTCGACACACCAGTTTTCCCCTATTTTACCTCAAAACAAAGAGGTAATATGAATTAACAATATGCCATACTATGTATAATCCAATAACCCAACCACTACCGCAGCAGATAAACAAATGATTAATTAAATGATTATTGTTTATGCATAATAATTACCGCGATATATAGCGCCGATAGTTCAACAGTTAGTTACGGGTGATCGAACGAACCTCGTCGATAAAATCAATGTAAACTATGATGTAACTGCCATATGTTATAACAATTTACCTTTGAACAATTACGTGGACGATAGCTTACTTAATCATAGTAAAGTATACACTTTAAATATCCATGTTTCCTTAGTAATTAGGTCCTATTTTTCCAATGAGAATTTGAAATAAGCTATAACGCGCTTCTGCGTTATTATCCTCATACAGAAGGGCGATATCTCCTCAAACTTTGCATTTTAGTAACTTTGGTTTTTCCTATCTTATTTTTTTATGTATTTAGTCATATTCGCTTTAATTCAGATAGGCGTTTTAATTATCATTTAGCCCTGATTGTACACAAGAAAGACAGATTTAGTGGTTGACTAATAACTGACATTGCTGGCAAAAAGTTTGAGATATTAAGAATGGCCATTCCACAGACCGAGGTTGAGCTGGAACAAAATACGAATATTAGTACGCCTGAACTTCTCGTTTACCGATTACCTAAAACCTAAACAATGTCTAAACTGAAACCTCAAACACGTCATAGAACAACGAACAAATTATTTATAATATTAAAATCGGTATAAAGTATATATTCTCACTGAATGATGATTAATTGTTTTCGAATCCTTGTTTTATTTGTGTTGCTGATGACGTCTTTGTTCTCGGAACTGCAATCGCGCGGTCTCCTATGAATGTATTCATTTTCTCACAAGGTTTACCTGCGCAAATAAATACAGTGTTATGATGACATAGCTACCTTAACAATTATCTAAGATTAAAATCCTCAAATCATGCTTATTATACGAAATGCACAAATATTTAAGTAGTCTGTAGTATTCTACCTGTATATCACATCGTCATCAGCCTGTAAGTGCTCACTGCTGAGCAAAGGCCTCTTCTCACACGCAGAAGGTTTTAGCATTAACCATCACGCTTGGTCAGGGCGGATTGCATATTTCCTGCATTTGTCTGTATATGACTCGCCGAACATCATTTTGTAGAGGTCTTTAACCAATTTTCCTATAAATACCGTTGTCACCATATCAGCCCAGGTTTAATCACTGCTGGGTTCTTTCATCCGTCGGTTTTCAGGAATAACAATGAAAGATTAGTTGTAGTAAAAGCATTATGAAAATTTCAGATGTGGCGATTCTGAGCGTTTCTTCTACATGGAGGTTGGGCGGCAGACGACGACCGGCGCTGGAGAACTCTGGATGCACACGGACGACTCCAACATCGCGCAGAGCATGCACTCCACTATATACCAGTATGAAATTTAGATATTATAATTCTACTTACCTGTTAACAGTTTAAAAACTCAAATCTACACAAATAATGTAAAATAATACGAAAATAAAATAATGGAGATATCCTATCAATCTCATATTTAGGATAAGAAACAATGAATATCCTTCTTGAGCTACTGTTTTCTTAGAAATTTGTTTCATAATAATCATTTTAAAAGTTATATAGGTACCAACCGAACTAAAGAGGCTTCCAAACTGTTCCACCAAACTATAATTCGTCTTCCCATGTTCTAGTGCGATGCGTGACTGTGCGAAAGAGACAGAGAATGAGCGAGACCACATCGTTCTACCGAAGGGGCCCGGCGACAATGCGTTGCCGGCCCGACGGCAATCCTATTCCGACGGCAGGGGCCGAGCTGGTCTCACTAACGGTAAGTCGGGTGACAAAAAAAGTCTATGAAGCGAGATTTTCTCTTAAAAAAACAAAAAAATATTTATGTTCTCGCTCCATATACACTGGGTTTTATCTATACAACTCATTTAGTTAGATCACACTAGTTCTTATCATTAGTGTACAAGGGCTATTTTCCTTTGACCAAACATAGTAGTTTAGTTACTTTTCGCTTGCATTCATGTCACCTGTAGAAGTTGATGCTTGTTTAGTCTAGATTTCTTGTAGCGTAGCAGTGACTAACATTTGTTCAACGTCAATTACCTATAATAATTGTGTCAATAAAATGTTTGTGTGTATAATATGAGCCCTTACATCTTTAAAAGAAAAAGGAATTGTGTAAACGTCAAGTAGAAACATTTGTAGTCCAAGAACGTAGTTGTCATACTCAAGAGACATCGATTTATGTATGAAGGATGTATAGGATGATATCGATTGGTATGGGATGTAAGGGCTAACTGGGCAGCGCTCCCTTGCAGAGAAGGGCCTGTGCGTGGGCTCGTGCATTAGGCAGTGCGTGTGCGCCAGTGCCACCTACTCCATCGACGAGCCGCCCCTCGCCCCGCCGCCGCCCAACGGTACACACCCTGTATATACTGTACCACTGATACTGGATCACTCTGTATACAGAATTTTCTGCGTTCTAAATCTTACTTTGAAAATAAAACAATGAAGTTAAAAAATAATAATAATAGCTCGTCTTTTCAAGATAAAGTCAAGTTTATTATTTGAAAATTATTTTTATTTTTTATTATTAGTACAGCTAGAGACGACTACAATTTCCTCCTTAAAAAAAATGGATTTAAAACGGAATGACTTTTTAAGGAACCTTTACCTATCACGTGTTGACTGACTGACACAGAATTTTCTGTATGAGACGTTTTCCAGTAACAGAAGGAGAATGCTCCCTGACTCAGTCAGATTAGGTTGCGACGAGTCTGGACGTGTGCTGGTTTTGATTTACTGATAGTTGAATGATTACCCTGTTTTATTTCTTGTGACCGTTTTCTTACTCTCTCTCCTGTGTGAAATGGACCTTTTGCTTATAATGACAAAGTCGATTTTCTAATGATTCATTCACATGATTTTGAGTTCTGTGGTGTCCCGTTTTGTACGGCTAACTAATCCTTGTAATTTTTTTTATTGAAGTAAGTTTAAAACCTTTTTAGTTCTCCTACCTCTTATTGTGTTGTTTGAATTTGAAAAAGATTTTTTTAACATCTCAAGTGAATTATTTCTACATGAGTATTCATTTCTTAATTTGTCTAGTCTTTCTGTTATCTCGGTACGTTTAACATTCGACTATCAAGTATCAAAACTACTTATACTACGGCCGCTTGCCCTGCTTTCGAATTCGGAGTACTAATTAATTTGCGCTCTACTAATTTTGTAATATCAGCTTTTAGGGTCAATAATTAAAGACGATAATTGCGTGTAACTGTACTGCGATATAGGCTATTGTTATTTAAGTATCTAGAAAATTATGTATGCATGTATAGGTACTTATATGTGACCTTTTAGGAATTATTGACCCAATAATAATTAACAATCCGCTAGCAAATATTACAAATATAGCTTCAGACAAGACTGAAATCTTTTATAAATAGCTTCTTTAACGGATCGCACGAAATATGTGCTTACCAAATGTTAAATAACATAGTTATAAATATGACGTACTAAAATGAACCCTATAACAATTGTATTAGGTTGAAAATGCTGTAAAATTCATGAGCTTGTGCTAATTATGTATCTACTGTCTACTTGAGCGAATTGAGACGAGTGATTGAAATGCTTGGAAGTGTATTGACATCGATTTGACTGTTTGGAGACAATTAACAATATCTTTGTTATTGGACCTTAGGGTCACCATTGAGGGTTAACCGCAATAAGGCGCGTCGTCACTCGTAAGAGTCTGGCACTCCCTCCTTCCTCACCTTAGAAAAGTTATTTAATGATGATCTTCCCCCCAATCAGTCAATGTTGTCAATATAAATAATTGGTTGTAATAAAAACGCAAAAGTGGACAGAATTCTCCATAAATCATGTGTTACAAACTTATGTGAATAACAGTTAGGTATAATTTCGCTTGCATGTATGTCGGTTTCATGTACATTGATCGGTTGTTGTTGCATGGCGCGAGGTATTGGTCATATTGTCGTGTTGTTTACGTCCTGTGGTATCATAGTATCATACACATTCATATTTATATAGTTTTTAGTAAAGGTCTAGCAAAATGTTTAATACTAAATTTTTTTTTTGAAAATAACGAATTTACTTACTCACGTAAATCAACTGAGAAAAGCTCGACTAGTTTCAAGACACAACGGGACTCTTACACTCGGTTTCCTATAGGCCGATCAATGTTAAAATCAATTTAATCCCTTGTCAAGTCATCTGATTGGTTGACTGAATTATCAACAACCAATCAGATGACTTGACAAGTGACTTGATACCTAGTTAGTTGATTTTAACATTGATCGGGCTTTCGGAAACCGGGCGACGCGCACGCTGCTGAAAAATGAGTAAGAGGCCCGTTGTTACTTGAAACTAGTTGAGATTTTCTCAATTGATTCACCCGAATTAGTAGTTATTTTAATAAAAAGTGTAACAAAATTTTGATAATAATAATATTCTGTTTTAGTTATGCAAGTCAATTCAATATAGTTTTCTCTAACAACGTTTAATCATTTGTTTTATTTTGACTTGTATTTTTGTTCGAATTTAATTTGTTCATTTTCCGACCGGAAGATTATTTTGTTTTGTGTTTCCTCTTCACACAAATCCGTTATCTATTATTTAGTCTGTTTTAAATTGAATATGACAAATAGTTCTAATTTTAATACAGATAATGTAGACTTGTAGACTTTTGCTAGACCTGAAACATTCTTCATGAGGACATTCGTAATTGTAAAGGTGTGACATATTTTTTATTATGTTCAAAAATCAATGATTAAAGTTATGTCACATTTTGAAATATATATTATAACCACATGTGAGCGATGGCGGTTAGAACATTGCTCATGTCAATGAGACTAGCCTGCCACCGTTGACGGTCGCATTATAACATCATAACCACCGCACCGGGTGAGCTGGGTGCCATATGTTTTACTTGTCGCTTGTCATTGTCTTTCACAGCCGACAACCAGAATAACACACTAACAGATAAAACCGACAACCCGGTACGGGTGATCAAACACCACCGCACAGAATCCCTCCCGACCGGGTACCCTCTCTTCCAAGAACCTCTGAAGATCTCCCACGGAAGGACGAGGTCGGAACCTCTGACCGGCGAAGAAGTAGATCGCGTGCTCGTTGAGAAAGGCGTAACGCACTCCTCTTGCAAGGCCATCAATGGAACGGACACGCTGCCTAAGAAGACGCAATGGTCGAGGCGGGCCTCAACGGGAACGCGGTTACACAAACTGTCGCCGGCTCATACTAAGAGTAGGTATTCTATGGGAGCGTCCATTTTGATCGCTAAACTTTTTAAAATTATGCCTTTCAAAATTATTTTCAATAAACGTTAGTGTAATATGGACGCTCCCTACATTTCATGCATATCCATATTAATCGTACATTGCACTGCACATTACTAACTTAATTTTGTCTTGGGTTGCCAGACTGCAATATTTTGTAAGCTGGCAACTGTGTGTGTGGAATGTTTCCGTTGCGTTGTGTGAGCACGCTTACGAACAGACAGACAGACAAATTGTGTGTGCATGGCATTTTGATTTGCTTTTTTATGTTGTTTTCTTGTATGTTTGTTAATTTAATGTACATAATAAGTTATTGCAACAGGTGAGTGACTTAAAAAAACTTAATAAATGAACTCAACTGTGTACAATTTAATTAAATCCCTAGAATTACATAACACGTCCTTTTAGTATATTCGTATTTTTGTAATTATGTATATAGTATTGTTTATATTGTTTTTATTCATGTTTGTTTTATAAACACATTTTTATTAAGTACATATAATATTTTTTTGTAAATTAATGTCTATTGTATTCTTATTTAGTTACATAAAATAATATCTTATATAAATCCAGAGATATTCCTGTTAAGACAAGTCACTAAACTACGTTTAAACCAATACATCAAAAATTAATAATGTAACAAATGCTTCGTTCTTATAAAAAAAATATGTGAATTTTTACTAACATAAAAATTTAGTGTAATTTTGACAGATATTTTCAGTGGATTTTATTCCATAACTGATTTCAATCCCTATGTCAGTATACTATTTTTAGAACTAAGTACTATTACGATAAACAGGCATACAAACATTAGTATTAGACAAAAATCTCCCATGCAATTTGTACCTTATTGCCTACTCTATAAGTTTTAATTTACTGATCAGAAAGCACTAGCACGCCCCTGTAAGCATGTCAAATTTAAGCAATGGAAAAATCACTTTAAAATGAACTTAATAAAGTTATTATTTGAATGGTTTTGTTGCATCTGCCTGTTACGATATTGTTACAAATATAATAACAAATCCACGGACTGAATATTATCATAGCACAACATTCAAACACGAACAAAATTGAACTCTATGACATGAACACAAAGTGCATTCTACAAAATAATCTTCACTGTTACAAACACAGAAGTCAAAGTCAAAGTCAAAATTATTTATTTCAATTAGACCCATACAGGCACTTTTGAACGTCAACACAACTTTAAAGATACAAAGTGTCAGTCTGTCGGTCAGTCCTTTTAGTGAAGCTATTCGCTCGTTCCAAAGTGTAGATTCCGATGGAGAAGAACGAGCAAGAAACTCCATGGTTACTCTTTTAAAATCAGTGTCACATAAACATTCTTTGATACATTATTTAGTTAGTTTGAATATGTGAGAACAGTGTAACGCGTGTATACAGAGAAACATAAAAAGAAAATAACCTTAAGGACAATAGACAGTCCGGAGCTGACCAGTCCCAATTGACGGCGCCCGTTCACGAGCATGACACGTACACCAGCATCGCCCAACTCAACCATAATATAGGGAATCGAGCGATCCAGTGACCGTGCCACCGCCAATGTGACCTTTGAGTGAGCATGACAACTCCAAGCTGACATATGGACCGACATTCTGCTAGTCTTAACTAATTTTAATAGGTTACAGGGCACTCACATTTACAAATTTATCAAGTTTAACAATAAAAATAGCATGGTTACAAATTTACAAAATCTAAGAACTTCCGTTCAAGCAAAGATCCACTGGAACATTATTTATATTCGTGTAGGTATATTATCCTGTGGAGCAGGACCAGCCCGTCTCCAAGCATCCTTATCCTCAATATAATCACTCAGTTTGTAATATGCTTTTTTACACAAAGTTTTCTTTATACATAATTTAAAATTTCTTTCATTTAATTGTTGTATTTCGCCTGGGATTTTGTTATAACACTTAACGCTGAATCCCATGAACGACTTGTGTACCTTTGCCAATCTAAATAATGGCTGACACAATCTATCTCTATGTCTAGTTTGGTAATTATGTCTGTCTGATACCTTATCAAATAATATTAAGTGTTTCCTAACATACATTATATTTTCATAAATAAACTGACCGGGCACAGTCATAATATTGATCTCAGATCTCTCAGAACAAATTAAACCTTACACTGAACGTAATAGGGTTTATATTTCATGTGTTAACGTGTGAGTTTACTTTCAGACGCGGAGACGTTACGGAACCGATGTGTTAGTATGCCGTCGAGGGCGTGTTCGTCGTTTGAAGTGGACAGACCGTCTTCCAGATACCCTGAAGTTGATGGTAAGGTTCTTGAAGGATAGACTTTTACTATATTTAAGTTAGTATATCATGCATACACTGAATCGAAAGACGTATGCCAGAATTTTCCCATTGGACTCTCCGTTGATTCTGCCTATTCCAAAGGGTGGGCGAGCCTTGATTTGCCAAAAATGATATGGCTTTGCAGAAAGGTATCCCTTGTAAGTGATTCTACCAAAGGCCTAATCTCTACTCTCTATCCAAGTCTCGTTTCTCAAATCCTGTACATCCCAAGTCTAGCAACGTACTCGTAACTCTTGTATTGTTGCGGGTTTCCATGGATGACACCGATTGCTTTCCATCAGATAATGTTTGTTTGCCATACTGTATACCATTAAAATGGTTAAAAATCTGAATATGGATTTTGTTATATAAATCATTTAATAACTATTGACTCTTTACAACCTTTTAAAACTTAGTTGAAAAAGCTGTAAGAAGTTGATATGATACTTTGTCGCTTTCAGACTTCATTCCACGGTCGCTTCAGGCTATTAAAAAAATATCAAACTATTATCGACAGAAACCAACAAAAACTTCCTTCCCTTGAGCCAAAATCCTTAAAACTGAGATCTTCACACACATTTAAGTAAAATTATAATTTGTTTATCTTATCTATATATATATAAATGGATCGCAAAATGTGTTGGTAAGCGCATAACTCAATAACGACTGGACCAATTTTGCTAATTCTTTTTTTTTTTTGTTGTGTTTGTTATTGTCAGGAGAAGGTTCTTATCAAAGAAAATATTAGAAAATTAGAAGGGAAAATTGGGAAAAAGTGACCCTTTGATAGCGAGATAGTTGGACCCTTGCGAAGCGGGGGCGGGCCTCTAGTTTCTAATAATAATCCACATGCCACATTAATCATGATTGCATTGTCCCAGGTTTGGAAGTGTCTCGCGATGAAGCGGACGCAGTGACTGACTGGTACCGGACGCCGCGCATACCAGAGGAACCGGACTGCTGCGACATATCTAGAGACTTTATGAGGTCGGTTTTTAGAATATTGTAAATAACAATGTTTTCTAAGGAACCAGTCGACTAGCTTAACAATCTTGTGTTTGATTAAGGAGAAAAAGAAAGAACTGTGTTCTGTTAGATCTAATAGTATTACAATGCGTCTTTACATTAATTATTAAAATTCATTCACAATCGACAAGTCTGTACAGATGGAATTAATGCCTTCTTTTTTAGACAATAGTTAGAAGAATATCATATTTAATTTTTTAACTCAAGATTATATGTCTTTTTAGTTAGTATGTGTCTTACAAATGATTTCTCCCGCCCGACCCTGGGTGGAGAAATCATAGAGATTTCACAGCTCGTATTTACGGGACTTTGTTCCTTATTAAGAAACTATTACGGCCTTATTACAAAACAAGTTTCTTTGGTCTAGGTCTAAACTATTGAGCCAGTTTCTGTATTTCTAATTGTAGGTAGGTGACAATAAAATTCAGAATACAAAACCTGACTTAATGGTTTCTTAATGGGTTCATCGTGTTTACATAGTGTTTCCCCCTGTAGCTCGTCGCTAGTGGGCGCGGGGTCGGTGGCGCACTCGCGCACGTCGTCAGTGGGCGAGGCGGGCGCCGGGTACCTGCCCATGGCGCCCGGACACGACCCGCTCGCCGGCCTCATCTCCGCCTCCAGCGGGTCCCTCTGCAGCGGGACCCCCTCTACGGACCCACGGTTTAGGTACGTACATGCTTTAGTAGAATGACAATATAATATAATGTTTTGTTAATCATCTTTTAGCAAGTAAAATGGGAATGAAAATTTTAATTCAAATATACACACAATCAGTAAGGTGTGATATAAAAAAGGGTCAACTGCAAAAGTAACCCTACTGCGTCGAAGGATATTACACATTTGAATTCACTCGTATTAGACTGCGAAGATGTTATTGAAAAATATGATAATAAGAATATAAAGTTAATTTTGTCTGTATTACGGCGCAGTGAGTACCAGCTAGAGCCCGCCACATCCCACATCGGGTTGGAGCGCCCCCCGCGAGCCTATAGCGTGGGGTCCCGGCCCGCCGGAGCCCCCGCGCCAGAGGCCCGCCATCGCGCCTACAGCGTGGGGGCCCGAGCACGACCCCCGCGGCACCCAGTGCGGCCCAACACTGACGACCACATGGAGATTGACTTCTCCAATAATTCCCCTGCGAATAGGGTTAGTATCTATCTTGATAAATATTTTAATTACAGATATTTTACATCTCCAACTATAAAGTGTGTTTTTAATTTCAACGTGTTCACAACATGTTTTGTGTATTTTGAAGTTGTCATCTCAAATGATGTCTCGCACCCCACCGACGGCTTGTTTCGTGGAGCCACGGCCGAAGACAAATGTGGACGAGTACGTGGACATGTCTCCGCGTAACGCAGGCTACGTGGAGATGAGGCCTGGCGAGCCACGCGCGCGCACCCCGCCGGCCCCCATCCCGGTGCCTGCGGCCCCCGCCACGCCCGCCACGCCGGCCACGCCGGACGGGTACGTGGAGATGCACTACGGGCGTGCGGCCACGCGGCCCATCGCCATCGGGGCCCCGCGCCCCCCGCCGCCGCTGGCCGCGTCCCCCGACGACAGACGGCGCCGCGAGCCCCGCACCCCGCACGGCTCGCAGACGCTCTTCGACATGTCGCTGGACTCGCCCGCCTCGCCGCAAGATGTCGACGCCGACATATTGGAGGAGGACCCGCCGCACCACCCGCTCAGTACGGTGCGCGAGATATCGGAGGACGGTCGCCGCAGCCCCGAGATGGCGGCGGCGCCGCGACGAAGCCCCGAAGTGTCGGTATCGCCGCAGTACGTGACGCTGGCGCTCACGGCGGCACCCCCCAAGACGCCCGAGCCTTGCGGGGAGGAGCTCTCCTGTAACCCCACCGCTAATAAGACTATCGCTAGGGTACCTGACCCTATCGAACCCAGAGGTAAGTTCTTTCTTATAACATGAACAATACTATTTTTTGATACAGTTGCTTAAAAAGTAGCGTATTGCAGGGACGTGTAGCGTTCGGAATCTGGGCTATTTCATACTAGTGCTTTGTGTTTACTAGTGCGTTTTCTTTCCCAACTGTCAAAATAATTTCTATTAAAAAAAATAACCACACATGAAGTTTATACTAAAAAAAAGTCATAGAAGTTTTTGTGATTCATGCAAATAGGTTTATTTGTTTCTAAAAAGAAGCTACCTATACTAATTAATTTGTCCTATATCAGAATTAATTATTTGATTGAATGAGTTAGGTAAGGTTCATTTCATATCATTAATTTCAATTTCAATTCTGATAATAAAAAATACTAAGTACCTACTAAAGACTTGGCTGTATGGGCAGTTCCCTTTGCCTACCAGAATGGGTGAAAAAAACTACTTACATTCTACGGTTGTCGCCATTTTCCGAAATTTTCTTTTATTTTTAATTATTTGTTTTTTTACACAATGAGTGATTTCGATTAAATTGCTTAATTTTTCGCAACTGTATTAAAATTTTGTCGTTCAGTACACGTACAGAACAGCCATTCCGTACTAGTAATGAAATATACGAATGTATAATATTTAGGAGTTGTTGTAATGTTGTGTGGTAGCAAGTACAGCAATGTTAGTGTGCGCAGGGTGGGCGGCGGAGGGCGGGGCGGCGACGCTGGTGGTGGCGGGGGGCGGGCGGCCGCTGAACTACGCGGCGCTGGACCTGGAGCCGCGCCGCGCGCCGCCCGCCGCCACGCAGCGCGCCTACACGCAGATCGACTTCCTGCGCAGCGAGAAGCTGCACGTCGCCGACTCCTAGGCCGCGCCTGTACGTAAGCTGTGAATGTGTCAAATTAATGCGTCAGACTGAATCTTTTGTCGCGGTATCGACGGTCCGAGCAGTGAGTCGAATCCTAACATTTCTTTACGCATAAGCTTTAATTTTTTATAGATGATCGCGAAACTGTTTTCCGCAATATACCTCATTTTTCCTTTAACAATAAACACGTTGAATATAAACTTTATTGGAATCTGTTAGTGTGTTCATTGGTTTCCTTAGTTGTAACAGTGGGTTCGACTCCCCGCGTGGGCCAGCAGGCACGCTGTGCGTTGTAGCTGCAGTGTTGATGGATCGCATACGGTCGGCGTGCACGCCGCATTTATATGAGACGTAGCCAAACAGGTGTATCAGTTACTCTTTTTATTACAGAGTATATATTTTCTATAACTTCCAATGCAAACAATTTATTTCACAATTTTTTATATAAATTACCTTTTCTCTACTAACTAGATGTAACTTTCTTTCCAATAAAAATCAAAACTTTTGTATTGCATAGTTTTGATACTAACTCATTTTTTTCTTTTATAAATGCCCATATATTTCAACTTCCTTTAAAGAAATGTCTTCTTTGTTTTACAAGTTTATTGTGTAAGTGTAACTGGTACACCTCGTTGGTGCAAGTAATGAGATCACCGCCGCTTTATCATTCGTCGTCAGCCTGTACCTTAGAGGCAGTTTGGTAGTGTATTAAACAGAGCGATATCTTTCACTATTATTTTATAGGCCAGACTAGAACATGTATACTGAATACCAGCACATTATACTACCCCATACTGTTTAAGAGATTTAAACTTTATGCAAATGTCATATGGTTTAAAATCTATAAATGTTTAGAGGAGTTTGATTTGCTGGAGTTACAAAGTATGACATGTTCTACGCTCGCCTGCAACTTGTATTAGACTCGATGTCGCTTGCTTCTGTTACTATTTAATAGTACACATTATTTTGTTATTAATTTTATTCTTATTACATTTTTATTATTATTGTTATGAGACTTCAGTGATACGTTTGTATAGCAAACATATAAATATATGATAATATGACACTAAGAAATTATACTAAGTCTAACTCCAAAAGTTTTCACTAAATTAATTAATACATTATCATGTTATTTTATTCATTTGTAATTAAATATTTATTTGTTAGGTCTTAGTGTATCTCTCTAGTACAATCGCGGAAGAAATCATTATGGAATAAATTGAAATGTAAAATATTCGTGCACGGGAATGTTTCAGTGAAGAGTTGTCGCGTTGGTTCCGTCGTGAAGGAGTTTAGTAAATATATTTGTAATTAACGTAAAGCCAGGTTGTGAGAGAGGCCTACCAGTTGTTGGTACGAGACACGATTATGTTCCGACGACATACTACCTACTGTGTTCTTAGAATACTCTGTGCAATTTTAAAACATGATATAAATGTTATTTCTACACTGTTATTGTTTGTTATCTGCAATATTGTTCCGTTCGTCGTTATTGTTGTACATACGCCAATACAGGTACAAAATATATATCAAAATGTCAAATGTAATATCAATGTTGAACGCTGGTTTCTGATTCGTGGTGTTTTTTTAACTTAGAAAACTAGCGTTTGCCATTCCACCGATTTTATTATATCTATATAATTATGTATATGAAATCAAAAAATAGTGTTAATATGTCCTATATTTAATAGTTCAGTGTTTTAAATCTAAATAATTTCGAACGGAACATAGCAGGCTTTGTACGTAGTCGTCAGTCGACGATTGAGTATCGAGTCAGCATACAAGTTAGACAATGATATAGACTAGGTTTTTTGAACTTGCTATTTATTATATAAATCCACTGTTTCTTGGCGTTTTTATTACATTGTTGATATGTGAAAATGTTATGTTTATTTTTCAGATTAAAAATAGGCACTGCACCTTATGTTGTTGAGTGGATTATATCATGTTGTATGTACCTATCGTGAGATATACTTACTAAATTAATTGAAAGTAACGACTTACGTGAATTATTACCTGCGAAAATTTCTGATTTGAGTCGGTTGCGCGACGTTGCTGCGACGTATACGCTGCTCATAGGTCCCGTTGAGACTTGAATTTGGTAAAGATTTTCTCAGTTATTTTTTGTATTAAGTCGTTATTTCTAATTAACAAGTTATATTTATGTTATATTTAAAATATTTATAAGTAAATAGCAAGTTCAAATAAACAAACTTCGTAAATTATGTGTTCAATACAAATCTGTTTTTATCTTATGACTACTGTTTATATCTGAAGCGAATATATAGGAATATTTTTAATCAAACATAAAGTTGTCTTATAAACACATACATAAAGTCGATATTGCATCGTTATTTTTGTGAATTAACAATATTTAGTTGTTCTTGTTATGAAGCTTCGCGGTTTTATACTATATTGATTTAAGAATATATTTTTTATTATTAACCTGTATAAAGCCAGTTTAGTGGCCAACAGTTCAAGACCTCGCCTTTCTGTTCTGTCAAGAAAGTTATTAGAATTTAAAGTTTATATACTACGAGATAAAAGCGAAAATCACAAAATAATAATATTGAAATACCGGGTGTTTCTAAAAGTTTATCTATAATAACTACTCATATATTGTACAACCATTGTAATTATTTAGTGACTTAGCCACTCCAAGTCTATCACAACTTACCTTTTTATTAATATTCTGTAAAATACCGAAGCTTCAGCTACAAGATAATGCAATGAGACCTCTCGTTGCCCTAGATAAAATTGTATCGTAACTGACTACTCACAGACAGACGATCCTATTATAGTTCAATTTACAACGTTCCCTTCAAATAAGTGCTGTTATAATACTGTGTGATGAGATTAATATGTAGTGAGGAAACTATATTGACAGATAAAGTATAAATATTTCGTCTCCCATAAGTTCTAAATTGTTTTTATTGATACTCTATAACATTATCTATTTTTTTCTGTGGCAAATATACAGCGCCTCTAGCGGTCACCTACAGAACTAAAATTTGTCATGTAAACTTCGTCTCTATCGTGTATCAAAAATTGCAAATACTGAGTGTTACCTAAAGTCAAAGTCATTTATTTCAATTAGACCTGTACAGCCACTTTTGAGCATCGAACAAAGGCTTAAGTTAAAAAGTGTCAGTCTGTCGGTCAGTCGTCTTAGTGAAGCTATTTGCTCTAGAGATATTATTCTCATCACACAGCAACGTAAAACAAATGCGCCTCACAAAAGTATCAATCGAGATAAATACAGAATGTTCAACATTCCGACTTAAAAACAATCGACTATATAGCCTCCTGTGTTCAACCTCTTTAAGCCATAGCGTAGTAATAGACGAGCTTCCTTCGCCCGCGCTCGACTTAAAGTAATGGGACCTGTATAACGTGACTGAGTCAACACCAAATTTTATATTAAAAAAAATAATGTTATTTATTCCCGCAAGTAAGTAAGCGAGCGAAAAGTCTCCGGCAAACGTGAAACGTTAGACTTTTCCCTCTGATTGTACTTTAACGTTTAAGCTTTAAGTATGCCAGGTGAAAACAGCACAAGTTTCTTTTTTTAGTGTAATACTTTTATTTGGCTTTGGGATGTGTTTTCTTGTGTTCAATGTGGGAGATTTCTTTTTAACAACGCAAGAAGGAAATTATAAATGAAGACATTGTTCACTGTTTTCGATTTCTGATAATCTGTCATGGGAAACCTCCCACAGTCATACGTTATTCCTAAAGCCTGAACGATATTAGTCCCCATTCATCGCTGTTATCAACGTTGTATTTAACTGATCGTGTAGTAGTATAGTACAATTTGGCAAGGCCACTGTTTTACATTTTTGTATTTTAATATTTTTTAGAACGAAATACTCGCTCTTTGTTCGAGCGCATGTCTGTAACGAGCTGGTTGAGAATTTTAAGCAGCCATTGTGAAGGATTTTGTCGTCCATTCAATGTGCCGCTGATTTAATTAAAGTCATTTAAATCATATTGTGGTGGCAATCTTTATCACCATCAAAACACCAAAAGATGTTGCCAGATAAAAAATCTGTTTATATAAATTGTTATCTTATTTCTCTTTAATAATAATACTTTTGCGATCCCAAGTTAGACATATCTTTACATAAATATGATCAATACATCTCAACCAGCTGTTTAGATAAGCCAATTCGCAGATTGCTAGTGCCACCTCGCAGTTACGTAGTACCATGTTTAGATACATATTGTAACACTAATATATATATTGTATATTATATTATACATTTACTTTATTCCACTTAGTGTAAGAAGTGTTGAGTTTAACATAGGTGTAAGGATAGACGGGTACAGACAGGTAAGATAGCGTTATGTAGAACATTGGATACAATCTCCTTTTAAAATATGCCCGCAATATTGCAATATTTGTATTAGATATGTGTTTGTGGCGTGTTCGTTGTCTATTCAGGCAGGATTCGTTAGATTAATTGAATTAATATGATAAAATCATATATCGTTTTATAATTTTGACACAGGACAATTGTATGTTTTTATAGTTAATCTTGAGTGTATAATACAGTTTTTGAAATAATAATTATATCCTGCCTGTACTCCCGAGCATGCGTGTTCTCCAGTAACTAATAGCAAGGTCACAAAACAGGTTCAACATAAATAGAAGCCAAGCATATTCTAAAAGGAGCTTTTGGCTACATTTACATTGGTGAGACTTGTATTATGTGACATCGAAAGCTAGTGTGAATGCGGCCTTATTTTAATATATTTATAAATAATTAATAAAATATATACAAAATAATTTACCAAACTCCGCGTGTTACGTCATGACAAGATGCGAGTTGTTTTTTTTTTTAAGAAATCTATACTAGTCCCATTGCAAGTTAAACAGAATTTTTGCATAAAAATGTTCCTGTAAACGGCGTAAAGGTTTTTATAAGGTTTAAATATAAGTTTAACTATTGTAACGTCTAGAACAGTTTGTATGATAGTGGGTTAGTACCTGGGATGAGTCGCCACGCTGCGCTGCGACCGCTTGCCGTGACGTCACGCGCGTCACGGCGCGATCACCACACGATGAGGCAAATTCTCTTGTTTTGGAAATGGAAAAAATATAATTATATTTTTTTACAAATGGTGCTACCGATTTGTGTTTTAGTCGATGATAGCTTAGCCGCTCCTACTGCCATGTAGATATGTGAAGTATCGTTGCGGGCGCGTGAGACGCGCGCGCATATCACAATCTGTTAGATATAGAGACATCACCACACTGAGCGTACGTCAAGTAGCTGTAGTCATAGCTTTTGTAAGGCGGCGCGCCGTTCGCTCTCGTCGGTCGGCGTGTCCGCCGGTAAATTATATTAAAATATCTAAATCTAATTTCTTTGGTACATTAAATTTTGTTTACTTTCATA